ATCTTTCTTCAATTCATCTCTTCTCTCGGTCTCCTTGGTAACAGCTTTGGAGAGAGCTCCTTATCAGCCTCTTCTTGCTTCTCAGCTTATTTTCGTTAGCTAACAGGCCTGCTGTTAGCCCTTTCCACAAAAATACTTTTATTAGCTAGTACATGGGTTATTTTAAATCAAGAATTAGAATACAGTTGGTATTAAACTATTGTTTCAGTTCATTTCAATGAAGTCAAAATTACTGTAGATTACCCTCAGGAGGTAATATTTATCTGGCAAAAAAAGGTTTTAAAAATATAGATGGAATTTCCTTTTCCTCTTTTTATTTTGTATGTTTTGGCAATATAGTTTAAATCAGATAACTTAGCTAATAGAGCATAACACTAAGTGAAACCAGAACTTAATGGGAACTGTTACTAGACTGTTTAACTGATTTGTTCCTGCTTCTGATGTGAAAATTATCCCATCATTACATTTATGTTTCCAATTTACTAAATTAATTCTTTTTCATTATCCTTTCTTCAACAGCTCTATCCAAGAAAAACATCTTGAGTATTTAGAGATACTCCAGACACTTCATCCAGCTTATTGGGTAACTGCTTTAAAGAATGGCCCTAGACAGAGAAAAGTCTTGTATTGTTTCTCCTTGTTTTTACAGAAGCATCATAACGGTGTTTTCCTCTCTGGACACCAGCAGCCACATTCATCCTGGTACAGAATGGAAACAGAATGGAAAAATATACTCGGGTGTGGCCTCTACAGACCACACTGTCACCTGAGTGTGCAATTACTGTGTTTTTTCAGAGTCAGACATGAAAAGAAATGGCTGGCCATGTGCAAAACAAAGAGCAGTCTCTTCTAAAACAAGAGACCCTTTATACAACAAGCAGGCTCAGCATGTCACTTCAGCATGATGCAGTGGCAAGAGAATATGAGCCTCAGCTTAGATTAAAAAATGGTAACCTGGTGTAATATATATCTATAGATCTATATCTCCTTCAAGCCCATGGACAGACTTGTGAATTATTAGTATTTGTTATTTTAAATATCAGCTGTATCAGAAACCTTATTCTGACCTAAGTTCTACTACCCTGCTGCTGTGCAAACAGAGCAGTCAGTTACCCTGTAGCTCCTTTGGGATGCTGTTGTAAGCAAAGTTGTTGCTTTTGTATTAGGTGGTATGGTTAGGTTACTTCAGGGATCCCTCTAATCGTTTGGATCCATTTCCATTTTTCCACAGTATCCCTGACAGGCTCAATGATCTTTATTATTCTTGTCTCAATCATTGGTTCTAAGAAATGTTAGGGGCAACGCTTTGCTCATCAGCTAAACCAGTGACTGCTTCCATGCTCTGCAAATGGAAACCAATGTCTTAACTCAGCCCTCTTCCTTCAGAAGGTGTGACAAGTCAGTGCCACTGGTTCAGGTAACTGTGTTACTGTAATTGGATTGCTTTCAGTATATGCCCAGTTCCTCAAAGGAATAGGTGAGGTCTGTCTCTGTACTCTTCCTTGACCTCATGTCTCAGCAGTCTTGGCCAGGTAAGACAAGGAATGCGGGCTGCTTCACCTTTTCTAATGGACAATTGGGAAAGGAGTTCCAAATTTAGTGAGTATTTCTTTTCTTTTTTTCCCTCTCCTCAGTGTAGGAGCAACATATTTTAATCCAACCTAAACTCCTTATCAAATAATTTAACCCAAACCAGTAACAGCCTCCTCTAAACTGACTGCCATCCTATGCAAGACTTAACTGCATTAACTTAGGTTCCTTTGTTTAATTTGACATGAATGCTTTTTGTATATAGAATTTCGTCTACATACCTATTTCATAGTAGATTTCTGTACTTCTAATTGCTGCCCACATACCAGAGACTCTTCTGCCAGTAGCCTAAAACTCCTGTTCTCAAAAGATCTGTCATGGAATTATTCTAAAATATAAAATTTGATTTCTCATATGTGGTCTGATACTCATCCTGGTGAATATATAGCACATTGGTTTGAAAACCACAGACTTGTCAACAAGTGTTTACATTTCCATTTAATATGAGAATATTTCCCCATTATGTAGTAAGAATATGAGGCAAAGAAAAAAATAAATTAATGTCATGATCTGGGAAAGAGAAACCTTACTGTTTTAGAGAGTCATCTCCTACATGTAGTGAAAATATCACATATTCCTTATAAAGTTGTAGACAGTGCTGTAATACATAGGACATAATTTTCCAGTTTCCTGGAAGAGAGTGATGAGAGCTATTTACAGACAATTAGCTTGTATTTTCTTCAGAATAAATCACATGAATTACACATGCAAACTGGAGTAAGGAGGGATTATATAGCAGTGCCATTAAAAGTCAGAAAAGCCACTGATCCTATAGTTCAATCTGAGTAGTCATACACCTGAGCGAGACCAAGAACAGTTTCTCCAAAAAGTCTGATCAAAATTCACTGATAGAATCAGACAGAACAATGATATTAGTTCTGAAGAGTATGACAGTACAGTAGCACTATTGAAAATATCCCTGTTTTATCCATTTCAACAAAAATCATAATCTGAATTACAAGTATACTGCATATCTGCATAAGCACCAAGATAATATAAAGTAAAAGCTTATTCATCAAGTCCCTCTGATAAATGGTCCCCGATAAAAAAGCAAATTTTTAATGTACTTTTAAGTACTTTTGGCAAGAGATATAAGTTCCATAATAGAAAAACCACTGCAAAGTCCGAAAAAAATTCTAAAACTTGTAAAAAAAATCAAAGGTAGAGCATTTCTAATAGTCTGAGAAATAATGAAATTCACTCCAGTTCCTGAGATAAACTGTAGATCAGTTGTGAGGATTTACCAGATTGTACCACACTTACTTTCTCACCTTCTCTTACACACTGCACACAAGGTCAGAACTGAAGATTCTGCTGAGCTTACGAGTCAGCAAAGCATGTGAAAGCTCAGAACATTCAAATTTTCTTTTCCACTATAAATACAAGAGACTGGCAGCTTAGGTCAGAGACAGACAGACTTCTGCAACAGTCTGTCAAAATAATTTCCAGACAGAGGCAGTTGCTTAAATTAACTGCACTTCCATCACTTAAATTAATATAGTTGTGTGCTTCTGTCTGGTTTTCACTGACAACTGTGCTCTTATTCATCCCTCTGCTGTTTGAAAGAGACCATAGATGAGTTCAAACTCCTAGGGTCAGACTTTTAAAAAGAGCATCTGTCACCTAACAGCTCAGCAGGTCTCTATGCTGGAACCATCATCAATGTGCTTCATTGCTACCAGCCATATGGTCAGTTTCTAACTTAGCATTAGAGTTGTGCTCCATCTTCTGTAACACTGCTGGAAGATCCAGTACAGAAGAAATAATATAATGAGGTACGGGGGAGGTATCTACTGGGGCAGTCATTGCTTTGTTTAACCAGACCGTTGCTTTCAAGCCAGCATTCAGGCCTCCTTGAATATCTGTATCTAGAGAGTCACCGACCATCACACACTCCGCGGGCTGCACCCCCAGGAGATCGCAACAGTAATGGAATATGGATGCCGCCGGTTTCTCCTCTTTCTGCTCTCCCCCCACAACGATGGCGTCGAAGTAGGGCTGGCAGGCGCACGCCTCGATCTTCTCCCTCTGCGTCTGCCGCTCGCCGTTGGTGAGGAGCAGCAGGCGGAGGCCTTTCCGCAGCTCGGTCAGCATGGCCCGCGTGTCCTCGGCCAGCGTCAGGTGCTGTAGCCGCGTCGTCTTCCACAGGTAATAGCACTCGGCCGCCAGGTCGCGGTTCGCCTCCCCGCCGATGGTCTCCTGGATCGCCTCCTCCCAGTGCGAAATCCGCAGGTCTGTGATGCACATCTTGGCGGGATCGTGGCACTCCTTGAGGAGCTTGGCCTGCACCTTATCGCAGACGGCGCGGGCCTCTCCCTCCCCGTAGTGGTGCTTGGACTGCAGGGCGCTTATCACCTGCAAGGGACGCGGGGGCGCGCGTCAGGGCGCTGCGGGGCCGCGCGGCGCGCTCCCGGGAGCGGCGCCCGGCCGCGTGTCAGCGGGGGAGGGAGCGGGACACGCGCGGCACCGGCACCGCCGCCGGGCCGGGAGCCACGGCGGCCGCGGGAAGGGGGACGAGGGCAGTACCTCCTCGATGGCGCGCCGCCCCGCCGCGGCCGTGTCGATCAGCGTGTTGTCCAGGTCGAAGAACACCGCCTTGACGCCGTGCAGCCCCATGGCGCCGCCTCCCGCGAGAGCCGCCCCGCTCGGACGGCGGAGGGGAGCGCCCCTGACCGCCGGCAGAGCCGCCGGTGCCGGGCACAGCGCGGCGGGGCCGCCCCGGGCCCGCCCCTCACGTCAGGGCCGCGGGGCGGGGCCCGGGCCAAAACGGCGCTGCCAGGTGCCTCTCCCGCCCCCCAGAAAAGGAGGGCTGAAGGCATGCAGAGCTCTGGAATGGGCTATGACGACAGCCTCCCGAATCCCAGCAGCTCGTGTGGGCTGAGGGTGGCGCTGGGCAGGGCAGAAAGGCCGCGGGAACTCCCGTACCCCGGCTACCGCTGGGGGGGGCGGCGCGCCCCTCGCCGTGCGGGCCGTGGGCAGGGCCGCGGCTGAGCCCGGCAGCAGGAGCGGCTCTGCGGCACCCCGGGCGTGCCCTGGGCGAGCCCGCGCCGCAGTGTTTGGGGTGTGTGTTTCTATGCTTGGTGTTTTGCTTCGGTTTATTTCCTGTGTGTAGGAATGCATTCTGGATGAGGCAACGGGACAGCTGGCAGCTGGTTGGAAAATAACCTGTTGAGGTGCTGCCAGGGAACAGCTTTGCCGTGCAAGAATTCCCCCTGCAGCGCTTCCACCCGGGCAGGCCTGCCCGCTCCCGGCTGTTGGCGGCAGTTTGGCTGTGCCAGCCCCGGGCCAGCGGCTGCTGCTGCTGGGGAAGCCTGTCCCACCTTAGGGAACGGCACCACACAGGTCCCTGCATGGGGTGCTAGCGTGGCGCCTAAAGATGCCGAAGGTAAAGATGCCTAAAGATGCTGTAGGTTTTCACTCCGAAGCATTCCGTGAACGGGGACCTGCACGAAGGAGGAGGAGGAGGCGTATGCAAAAGATTCGGTTCAGTTCGGCTTTCCCAGCTTCTCTGTTACCTTCTGGAGCGTGTCCTGCAGTTACCTCTGAGCGCAGCAGCCACAGCACGGGGATTGAATTATCCATCAGCAAGTGTTCCTAATAAAGCCAAAGTCAATAACTCCGCTGTAACTCCACTATTTTGAGACTCTATATAATAATGGATTATTTGAAACTCCAAAGGTGAATATTTTGTAGAGCAAGTGAATCTCAAAGGCATTTGAATGAAAACCTGAATGGCGTTATAGAACAAGATTTTTAGGTGTATATACCAACGACTGTTTTGGAATTGATGATTTTCCCCAAGCTGAAGTTTAACAGTGTCTTGTTCATTGATAATGTTTTGAGAAACACAAGGTATTTTTTAACGGCCATCTAGCAAATTTTCTTAATTTGATTTGCGTTTAATACTGCTAATGTCAATTAGAAATTAATCGTTAACTGCAATTCACAAAGCTGGAAGAAACTTTGTCTTTTACCAAAAAACTGGAAGTTCACTCCAGGTCACTTTCAGTTCAAAAAACCACACCTTTGATAGCAATCTCCTTATCTGACAGAAGACACAGTCTTCTATCATGAGTCACATGCAAGGCCAAAGCAGTTGTGCCCAAAAGCTTCGCATATGGCAAGTAAAACTACAGAAGACAAGCCTTTAGGGAGAGAGGTGGATTCTGAGAAGAAACAGAAATAGCTAAGGATCCTGTAGTTAAGGCAATAAGAGGAGTTTTAATAAAATTACTCTAGCTGGTTCTAATAAAATGTGCTGGTTTTGCTTGATAAGACAGAAAAGGTGTTAGGCATGTGGATTTTATGTGCCCCTACTGAATTACTGTTTTTCAGAATTTACACAGAAGAGTGACTTAAAAATAGGATGCATTCTACTTAGGAAGATGGCATTTGTTTCAGACAGCCCTACATCGCAAACAGTGAGCATTGGATCCTATGTGTACTTTTAGAAAAAGGTACATTTACATAAAATATTTGTGTTTTCAAAGAACATTTGGACCATTTATCTATCAGCAAGTGTGTTACTTTCTCCTTGTTCTCTTGTTCCTTGTTCTGCAGGCTCACTAGAGGCTGGAAATCCCTCTCAGCAGAAGCTGAGAACCAGGAAAAGAACAGTCATTGGAAACTTGAGTAGGAGACAAGCTGAAACATAAGAGAGTGCACATCCTAGAAGTGGTAATGTAAGAATGCCAGTATGGTATCTTTAAACAAGGAATTGCTCCTTTTTTTGCTACAAGATGATTATGTTTAGGAGTTCAACATTTGGAACTCTCTCATGGTTTTTTCCTGCATCTCCACTGGTGTCTCCATGGATTCCTTTTTGGTTGTGTTAGCACTATGAGAGAGCAGGTGAGCTTCCTGGGTGCCCAAGTTGTTTCCTTGTACTGAGGAAGACCTAAGGCTTACTGCTGTTTTCCTTTTCTACAGCTGTCTGGCTTCTGCTGGAGAGAGACCTGACAGGGGGTGGAGATCAAATCTGGATGATCAGGAGTAGTGACCTGTGTGCACAGTGGAAGTCATTTACTCCACCCTTTACATCTAGCCCCTGAAAACTCATCTTGGAGATTTTTGTTTCCCACTTCCACAGAATATATTATTAACTTGGTGGCTGATTTTTTCCTTTTATCCCAGTAAGAGATTTATTATGAAGTTCATTCATGTTGAGTGATACCCATGATATAGTTCAAGCTCAATGTGTTGAGGAATAGTTCTCACACAGGTGTCTTGGCCTGCAATCTGCAGATTGAAATGCAGATTGAGCTCCTGGTTGGAGCTCGAGACAAGAGGCCATGAATTCCCAGCCTTTGGGATAACAAAGGACATGAAGACAGGTGACAGCAGCCAAGTGGATGGACAACTGAGAGTAACAGCCGGTGACTGCCGACCTTTTGGATAAGGCGACGCCAGTGCGATGGATGAACAGAGCGGGAAGGCGGGAGAAGACGAGAAGGAAGAGCGGGACTGAGGGTATAAAACCCTGGGGGTTCTTGGGCTTGAGGGCTTTGGAAGTATTTGGGCGCGCACTCCGCTGGCCATGTTGCGGAACTATAGGGTGTGGTTACTGTAACAGGAGAAGGCGCAGCGAGTCAGGGCCAAGCCGGGGGCTCAGGTGTTTGCGAAGCCGCTCCCCTGCCTCGGAGCCCCGGTTCCCCGGAAGTTCAGGAGCGCGGGCAGAGCGCCGGCGGCGGAGGCGCCGCTCCTTGTGCCGGGCCGGGCGCGGCTCCCCGCGGCCTCAGCGCAGCGCCGCCCTGCTCCCTGCGGGGCTCTCCCGCCCTCGCCTCCCTTTCGGTTTCGTTTTCGTTCTAACGCGGGCCGGCGCTGCGGGAAACGAAAGTGGGTGGGGTCTACGCGCCGGGCCGGGTCGGCTGCAGGAGCGTCCGCGGGTCCCGGAGCGTCGGCAGCGGCTCGGAGGTACCGGCGGGGCGGGGGCGCGGGAGGAAGGGCAGGGTCCCTGCGGGATGGGGTGCCCGCAGCCCGGCTGCGGAGGCCTGGCCCGCCGCGCTCGGTGACGGCAGCCCGGGGTCATCTTTGGTCCGTGCGGCTACGCCTGGCGTCACCGCTGCTCGAAGGGATGTGTTAAGTGCCGTCGGGTTCTCTTCTGCAGGAATCGATTCTAATTCTGGGGAAACGTTACTGTTTATTTTCCTCCCACATAAGGCAGTAAATGATTCCATCTTTTTCTGTCAAGGAATCTGCTCAGGAATCTTCTCTAATCACTGAATTCTCCACTCTGCTTTCTAAAACCCTTATTCCAAGCAATCAGTTCCAAAACACTTGCAGACCAATCATTTAAATTAGAAATTCGAATCAGTTTCCCATGAACTTTGTTACTGGCACCAATTTTCTATTTTATGTCTCAGCAGTGACCTACCAGGATTAGGGCTGCCTTTATTCCATGTTTAGAGCAACAGACAAATCTCTGAATGTTACTTTGCAGCCTCTATTGAAGATTGTGTCAAAATGGATCGTGAGTATATGGGGAAGGTCAACTCTTACGGTCAAAAAAATAATTATACAGTGGCTTATGAACTCGTCGCCAAAAGGGGCCCACCTCATGATCCTGAGTAAGTTCCCTCTGCCTGTCAATAACGGGCGGGGCTTTTCCTGCAATGAGCAAACTGTGTAAAGCTTGCAGTCACAAATATTGATTTGCTGAAAGTGCATGTGTAGTGGGAAAGCTGGTTGAAACAATGAATTGAATGGCAGGTGCATGGGGAAGACATCATGTGATACAGTTTAAGGAGAAAACTTATTTCAAGGGTGATGGCTCTTTTTCAGAAAGTATCAGCAAGGCACCTGTTACTTACTAGTAACTGTATTGTATATTATGCATCTCCTCTCAGAAGGTGGATTGGGTTACAGCAAAGTAACCCAAGCAAAGTGTTTACAAAGCATTGTTGATTTCTAGTCAAAAAGGTTGGGTGTATTAACTGATTTCATACTAACATATTTAACGTGTAGTATATTTTTTAACATTTCTTACAAGAAGAGGATGTTTTGCTTAAGGAGTTTTGCTTTCCCTTTTAGAGACAATTACAGGTGATGGAATATATTTTATTTTTTAACACTGATACAGTGCATTTTTTCCCTTGCCAAAGGTTGTAGATACTCAAGATCTGTAATATTTCCTTGCATGATTTTTAAATTTTTTTTGCTAGTTTGTATGAAGACAAGGCTTATGTTAATAATTAATACTTTTCTCTTGCTATGTTGCATGTTGTCAGATAGCACTGTCTATGCAGATTTAGTCTTAAATCTGTCTAACATCTCAGAATAAATTAATAGATATTATTTGGATCTCAAATGTTAATAGCTATCTTATTTTTTTGCCCATGTAGCTCATGTAATTCAAAAAAGTAACTCTTATTGCAGTAAAGACCACAGCTGTGATCACACAGCAACATCTTAATTCTTCAAAAGTGATGGCATGGGGCTGACGGAACTTACGTTCATTCCAAGTTGTTTATTCCATTTGTTGTGGTTTTTCATTGTTTTTCTCTGTGTTCTGCTACATTCACAAATGAAATTCAGCCCATTGTGTGACATCTAGGAAAATGCTGGGTAACTTGGGCTATTCCAAGGATACAGTGTAAAGTGTCTGGCTGTAGTGATGTGTGCTGTAAACCTTCAGTCCCCCTATGCTGCTCTTTCCTGGAGTTCTGGATGCATTGACCACTGCTGGTTGTGAGCTAGCTCCCTAACTCTGCTGTGCTGTTCCATCTCATCTGTCGCCTTGCAGCTGTCCGAGGCATGATGCAGAGATACCTCCCATCCTATCATGGTTCTGGTGCTGAGGCTGCTTCCAGTACTGGGTCTGACAGGGCCAGTGATGAACACAATGTAAGAAGGTTAAAGGAGACCAGGGTGGCTCAGTCCTGAGCTTTTGTGGTCTGGGAATGCAGAGAGTGGACAGTTAGGCCACTAAACCTGTCAAGCTTTGGAATTGCTTATTGCCTTGGTGAATGACTCTGCACTTATGACCAATTCATGTATCGCTCCTGCAGGTAGTCCTCAGCTTGGTCATGGAGATTCACTGCAGATTTCATCAGGATGCTTAAATAAATGGTGTATTTTGATGCAGTGTCATAGCTGAATGTGTGTAGTATTCAGTACTTAGGTATGGGTTGGCTGATAAACTCCTTCCTGAAGAAGAACCTTTCTTACATGTTTTGCTTTCTCTTTGTTGTTTCCTATGTGTAGAGGATATGGCACACTATGGGGGTGCCTTTTCCTACTATTTGCCTCCTTAAGATTTTTTGTTAACCTTGCTTACACAATGAGAGTGAGCACTTCATTCTGCATCTCCATTGTTTTCCGCCCAAACATTTCATTAAAAGGAAGTGGAGAATGAGGTTGGAATAAGGAAAAAAGTGAGTTCCTAAAGTCACTACACTATTTGAGACCAATTTTCCCACAGAGGAGCTCATGGTGCTATGCCATGACTGTGTGAATCCACCTTGTTGGCTGTCAGCACTTACACACTCTGCTGCAATCTGAAGCACAGAGGTGCTCTGAGGCTCTAATGGTCACTTTAACTTGGTGCAAGTATGTGCTGCTGCCACAGGCAGAAATCCAGTTGTTCTTTTCTCCTCTGTTGCAAAGGCAGTATCAGAAACATTAGGGGATTTGCAGCTACAGGACAAGTCAGATCTGTAAGAACTGATTTGTGTGACATCCAAGTATTCGTTATTAGGGCGCAGTGGTGGGTTGACCCCAGGAGGCAGTGAAACCCCCAGCTACCTACTCACTTTCTCCCAGTGGGAGAGGGAGACAATCAGAAAGGTGAAAGGCAGAAGAAACTTGTGGATTGAGATAAAGACAGTTTAATAGACAAAGCATAACTGGATGTGCAACCAAAGCAAAATAAGGAAGTTGGCTACTCCTTCCCATCAGCTGGCAGATGTTCCCAAGAAAGTGGGGCTTCATCATGTCTAGTGTGTACTTGGGAAGGTAAACACCGTAGCCATGGGTATCCCCTCTTCCTTCATCTCCCAGCTTTTATTGCTGAGTGACATGCCATATGGCATGGACTATCCCTCTGGCCACCTGCCTTTGTTGTGTCTCTTCCCAGCTTCACACCTACCATTCCTCTGCTTCCTGAAGGCCAGAGTGGGAAAAAGAAAACAACTTTGGTGCTGAGCAAGCACTACTCAGCAGTAGGTAAAACATTAACCCTGTGTTAGTTCCAGTCTGGCTGCCCTGAAGAAAGTTAACCCCATCCCAGCCAGATTCAGTCCTGAGCTGCATCACATTCCCATTCTGACTCATGGAGTTGCTGTATGGGAAGCAGGACATGCACAGTTGTGGAATGCAGGAGTTGCTGTATGGAAAGCAGGACATGCACAGAGAGGGAAGGGCTCAGCAATTGAGCACAGAAAGGCAGGACTGGGGCTTATGTTTGTTTGTTGGTAATGTTTTGTTTTATTTTGGTGGGGTTTTTTTTGACTGCCTATAAATTAATCTCTCACAAGCACCAGACATTTTTTTTGCTCTTATTAAGCAGTTTACATCACAGGGTACTAAAGGTGAGTGTAATGTCACATCTGGTTTCATGAAACCAAAATTAGCTACTCTTTCCTCTGTGTAGCGTCACACTACTGAGAGGTGTCCTGTTGTTAGGGCTTCACGACCTTGCTTGTAACAATGCTGACCTCATCCATTCTTATGCTCTTAAAAATGAAATTATTTTGATTTAAGAAAGCAGTTAAAAGTACTGTTGGAACTAATAAAGTGAATGTATTTGTGACTAGAGAGGAAAAATTTAAAAGTATTTATACTAAAGAATTATGATAATTATTGGTTTGATATAAGAAAAACACATTAATGCTTCAGTACTTCTCATAGTTATCCTATAGTGCTTTGTAGATAATAAACCCAAAGTTTAATCTGATAAGATTATTAAAGTATATATGTGAGAAAAATGTAGCAATGTTTCAGACAAGTTTTCTTCATTGCAGGTTCACAGTTGTTGTCATAGTAAAAGGTGAGGAATATGGTAGTGGCACTGGTAAAAGTATAAAAGCAGCAAAAGAAGTAGCAGCAAAAAAAGCATGGAAAAAGATTGAGGAAGAGGTGAGTAAACAGTAGGATTGTTTTGGGGGTTATTAAGCAGCGTACATCACATGTAATGTAGTAAATGTTGCATATCTGAAAGTAGATTTTTGATAACGTTGTTTAATTTAAAACAGTTTCTAATTATTCAAGTTGTCTTTGTTTCTGTCTTATTCATTTTTCAACTTTTTATCAGTGAATTGTTTTCCTTATTTTTTTCCAATAGGGTTGATATCTAGTACTGTGTTTCATCCTCTGCTGTTATAGGAGGATAAGGAAATGTATTTGCCTTTGTTAAGCTGCCTTGGTGTATCCAAAGTGGGCAATTGTCCTTTTATATCTTGACAACTGTTCTATGATTCAATATCTGCAAAACATTTGCAGGGCATTACTCAGCGTGTCTGTTGCCACTCTGCTAATGAAATTTCTTGCTTTGTTTAATTAATTAATTGTTCTAATTAATCTTTTTTCCTTTTCATTATATTCTTTACAGTATAGGTAGTTATATACTTTCTCCTTCCTTGATTAAGTCTAGGTTTGAATTTTGCTCCTTAGTTTTCTGCCAAGTGTTTTCCCTTCTTTATTTGCCATGCTCTATTTTTCTTTCCAACTCTGAATACTTCTTAGCACCTTTTGAATGAAATATTTTCTTCCCTATTTCTATATGGCTTTTATTGTGTCCTGTCATTACTTTAACACAATTGCTGGCTGCATGTCTGTCTGCTGATATGTTACTGATGTTGACTAATCATGAGGCAGCTGAAAAGTCCTGCTTTCCCCTCTTGTACATGCACAGGAGCATTTGCAGCCCTTGCTAAATGGGAGCATCAGCAGCATCCTGCTGCCATCCCTTCTTCACAGCTTGTTCCCTATATTTTCCTAAAAGGGATGAGGCATGGTGAGAGGTTGTTAAAGGCAGAAGTGTAGTATTTGGAAAGCCGCTTTTACATTTATTCAAAATGTAATAATTGTGCTTGGGATGTCAGTCCTTTGCCACAAAGGACTCTTACTGGAAACTTGGGATTTCTTAAGAGTGTTTTGAAATGTGGACAAACCTTGCAGCTATATTAGTTCTTGTGCACTGTTTATCTTAATGTATTTTTAAACTTAAGTTTTCAAGTTACCTGTTTTGTTTGTTTTATAGGAGAAGAGTTCATCAAATATGGCAGCTGCAGATTTAACAACAGCTCAAACAACCTCAACAACCTCATCACCTGCGCCAGACAAGAATTATGTCTGCCTGTTAAACAGTATTTCACAAAGGACAGGTTACACAGTTGGTTATACTACCCAAAATCGTACTGGAGATCCCCATGCTCCCACGTAAGCTATAATTTACTTTCCTGCTTCCTTCTAATACTTTTTGTGTTTACTAATGCTACCATTAATAATCCTTGGTCATGTTAGCTGAATCTTTAGGAGTCACACCATCTGCCTGAGAGCATTATCCAAAAGCTTCTTGAGCTCTGCCAGGCTGGTGCTGTGACCACTTCCCTGGGGAGCTGTTCCAGTGCCCAGGCATCCTCTGGGTGAAGAATCTTTTCCTGATATCTGACCTAAACTTATCCTAATTCAGCTTCATGCTCTCTCTTTGAGTCCTGTCACCACAGAGCAGAGATCAGTGCCTGCCCTTCCTGTTCCCCTCACAAGGAAGCTGTAACTGCAGTGAGCTCTGCCCTCAAACTCCTCCAGGCTGAACAGACCCAGTGACCTCAGCTGCTTCTCATCACAGGCCCTTCACCATCTTTGTTGCTGTCCTTTGAACAATCCCCAATAGCTTAATGTCATTTTTATATTATGGCACCCAAAACTGCACACAGGACTTGAGATGAGGCCACCCCAGCTCAGAGCAGAGCAGCACAATCCCCTCCCTTGCCCTGCTGGTGATGCTGTGCCTGATGTCCCCAGGACAGGGCTGGCCCTCCTGGCTGCCAGGGCACTGCTGGCTCAGGTTCAACTGGCCAGTGACCAGGATCCACAGGTGCCCTTCTGCAGTGCTGCTCTCCACTGAGTTATCTTTAAGGCACAACAAATTAGTTACCTACCATTATTAACTAGATTAAATGTATATTGAAAATGCTGCCCTGAAGATGTATACTTCAGATTTCCATTCTATAATGTCGCTTGATTGTAGTGTTTAAAAATCATTACATTGAGACTTGTTATATGGGATATAAGACTCGATTCCCTGTTGTATTTTACAGGTATTCTGTTAGCTGTACAATTAGGGGTCAATTGTATGGAAAGGGCACTGGACCTACCATAGCTGCTGCAAAAAAAGCTGCTGCAAAGGAAGCATATGAGAAGGTAAATAAGGAAAGCTCTGTGACAGTATGTGCTATATTTAGCCTTATCACAGAAGTTTAAATCTTTGAACCAATTTCTTTATTGTATTTAAAAGCATATTTCATGGATTCCATTGAAGAATGAAGCAATCCATATTTTAGTGTGTTGGTTGGGCTACTGTTAGTAGAATTTATGTTGTGCTTCTGCATTCTGGATTAAAAAAACCAAACTGCTAACAATTGATATCTCTGTGTTCAGAATAGGTCTGATATGTTGTCATTCAAGGATGCACACGTTTTAAAAATTTTAAAATTCCAACTCATTGTCTTCTGTGAGAAGTGTTGTTGAGCTGGCAGACTATGAACATACTTCTTTTACTGTCTTCTGTTGGATCAAAAATCTATTGTGTAATGTGAGAGGCAAAAGCAGGAGTGAGAATCAACAGGACCTGCCTTCTGTAGTGTTCCAGGGCACAGTCCTATGAAATAATTGCTGACACCATCCTCTGGAGAGCAGAGCTGTTGTCTTCATGTTGGCAGCTGTTATTTCCACATGTGCAAAAAACGATCAGAATTCTAATAATGATCCAAACCCTCTTCTGAAATGTACAGAACATATGAACTAATTAAATGGAGGGTAGTTTAAAGAGAAGAATGGCAGTATAGGGCAGGAAAGAAGCCTTTTTCACTTTTAAGTACTTCTAAAATTATTTGGCTGTTACTGTGAATTTTCAATGTTTTTAGAGTTGTTTTTAAGTCAACCATGTAATTAATTAACATCCTATTTATGAGATCTAGGAGCCTCTCTTAATATCTTCCTTGATTGCAAACCCATGGATCTTTTTAACTTCATTGAAGTCTGAAATTTATTACCTCAAACAGAACTTGTATACCATATAGTCTAAATTTAGATTGGATTGTTTTGGTTTGGTTTTAATTTTTAATAATTCTCAGTGATGTCTGCGTAACAAACAAAATGTAATCTGGCAAAAAGTAGTAAAGGTCCAGTACCCCTGTATTTAAAAAAGGGGTTTGTTTGTTCTCATTTAAACATAAACCCTATGTTTTTGTGTCCACAATACTCTGATGGAATACCAGGAAACATAAAAAAATAGTAGTTTACTTTTTGTGAGGTGATGGTCTATATCCATTGTAGTTGTTGCTTTTATTGTTACTTTAATGATCTTATAGGTAGTGGGAGGAAGGGGAAGAACCTCTGTTAAGTATTTGGGATAAGTTTTTTTTAATTCAACCCCTATTTAGTTAGGAGTTTTGCAGTGTTTTCATGCTGAGGACATTGACTGTCCATTTGTACTAACTCAGATTTCAGTTCTGCTGATTACATATATCAAAGCTTACATACATCTAATTTTCCACACAGCAGTTGCACATGCAAACAACAAAGATATTTGCTTTTCATAACTCTCGCTCTTATCCTGGTTTTGAATAGAATCCAGACTCTACTTTTGTAAATGTGTCTGTATACTATGCTCACTGTGGCAGGGTCCTGTGTTTTTCCTTTCTCTGAGTGGAAATTGGGCAAGTGCCTTTCTTCTGCAGGGCTTAGAATGTTTAGTGCAGTTACCAACTTGCTCTTAGGACCCTGTAATCTTCCCTCTGGCCTCTCTGGATGGCATCTTTTGCTCTAAAGGTTTGTTTATGTGATTTTGTTAAACATGGCTTTTTTTTTTTCCAGTGGGAACTCAAAAGAGCTAATAACAGCAATTCCTCTCAAGTGTCAGCTGAGTCTGACTCAGAGTAAGTTGGGTTCACTGCTAATGTGATAATATTTAGTAATCTTAGAGGGTAATGTGCTCTAATTCTAAATAAAATATATCATTTTATTGCTTTATTGCAGTATAAAGCAATCTAATTTTAACTTCTGTTCCTTAAACTTCAGAGCAAAGTTTGTTCTACTTGTGCAGTTTTATGTGAGACTGTATGGGATAGCTTATAGTAAGTTTAGAGCTTTCTGATTTGTTCACATTTTAGTAGCTCTTTCAGAAGTATTTTTTTGGTGATATAAATGGATTGCCCTACCTCATTCAATAGCACTATTTCATGCCATTTTAACACTTATTTTTCTATTGAGACACTTGTGAATTCAGTGTAATTCAATTTCAGTACTCTCCTGTGCTCCACATTCTGTTTTCTTCTCTCCCATTTTTCTAGGGTTTTTTCCCCTTTTTTCATTCTACATGAATCTTCATTTCCACCAAAGGGAAAAATTTGCTTAGCAAAAGAAACTGAACATACATTAAGTTTGAGATGTGATTTAAAAACCAGCAGTTTACCTGCAGTGCCACTACCACTTTTACATTTTTCTATCTTCTAGATATCATAGACTCATTTTATAATAGAAATAAAGGAGAATATTACAAAGTGTTGTTATTTAATAGCTTTCAAGGAAGACGTTTTGTAGTTTAAATCAGTTACGATTGTTAGTACCTTTTCAGGTTTTGCTTTAAAAACTGGGATTTTTTGGTACTTCTTTTCTTGTGATAATAATTTTATTTATTATTGTGTTATTTTCACCTAAAAATAGTCCATTATTTTTCAGTAAAAACACCGTTCGCTTTGCTGACTCATCTGCAAAGTTGGAAGAAAAAATGAAGGACATGGCAGTATGTGAAAAGCCTTCACCTTCTCAGGTACAGTATGAAAATGGTCTTCCTCATAATTACATTTTAGACCCTGAATAGGGCATGCTTCTTGTCAGAGTGTAACATCAGTTTGTTCATTTATCCACTAATCATTAGAAAATACACGCATTTTTCCTAAGAACGTTCAGTAGTGGTAACCATAGTCATTTCCTTCTGTATTGTGGTTCAAATTTAGGTAGTGTTTAACAAATGCCAGTAGTCCCAAGAAGAGGGTCAAACTGAGCTCATTTTTTGCAATGATAATGTTATGCATGGCATATGTGAAAAACACTGAGCTAAGATTCATTCTTATGACATTGTTTACATAGGGTATGATCATGTTTATAGGCAATTCCTAGATACATTATCAGACGTGTTTTAAACAGGCTGCAGTGAAAATATTCAGGACACCTCAGTCAGGCTTTTTTTTCTGTTTTCCATGTAGAGAAATGCACAAAGGTCTGTCTCGGAGACCAAAAGGTATGTTTACTTTTAGATTGCTATCTCCTCTAAACAATATATACCTTAAATAACTTTATTTTTTCTATCTCTAGTAAAGAAATGCTATTCTTGGGGGGTATATTTCTTTTCTCATCATGTGTTAGAAAAATGGCTCATTATAGATTTTGCTTTTATCCTTGTTAAAGAAAATTGGCAGCTAATTTTGCTATTGTAAGAAACAAGGAAGAGGAAAAAAATATGTTGGATTCCAGTGGAGGTTTGCCAGATGTGGACACAAATACTGGAAAAGAGAATGGGAGTCCATGCACTGTCAATAAAACGTAAGGATTTTTTTAAAGTAATATTTGTAAGACAATAACTGTATGTATGACTCTATATTTGCTTCTTTATTTTTGGCAGAAGGAGGGAAAATACTGCTGTGAAAAGAACTTTCAAAGAATATTGATATTAGATTTTTTTCCTGGAAATTTCAAATCTAGCATAGAAATTGACAAGCAATGGTATTTAAAGCTCACAACTAAATGTCATTCATGTGAGGGTGGTTACCTGACAGGCCTGGAAGGGTCAGTTTCCCTTGTTGTTTTAATCCCCAAGGTTGTGATTTAGACCTGTAGGTTGGTCAAATGATGACTGTAGAATGAAATTGCAGTAGATGTATTAAATCTGTCAAGATTATTTTGATATTCTTAATTGAAAATTAAGTATAATTAAGTGTGGTTTTCCTTTTTTTATTTGTTTTTAAAGATTTCTTGAACTTTTTGAAAAAATACAGCATATTGGTGCTGGTGGTTTTGGGAATGTTTTCAAGGCAACATCGAAGTGTGATAAGACAACCTATGCAATCAAACGAGTTGAATACACAGAGTATGTACTGAATGTTTACTTCTGTCTTCTAGGACAACTTTAATCAAGACTTTATTACTTTATTTTCTCTCTTTAACAATACTAGAAGCATTTAGGTGATTTTTATTATTAATGATCTGTCATTTCTATTGAACTGTTTTCTTTATTTCCAAGTGAAGCTGAAAGTGGTCCTGAACCTTTGTTAATTTTTGCATGTAATGGGTTAATTTTTCCTGGAGCTGTAAAAATGTAGGTATGTTAAGTTCTCTTTTCCCTGAACACAGTAGTGCTCTGGTTGCTAATATTGCAAAATGTGTTTGGAGAAAACCTGATGATTATTAAAACATTGAAAGCAGTCCTGTTACTTTTGACAGGCTACATGGAAAATTTTCATATCAGTAATGTAAAATAACTATAATTATGGAAAATAGAAAAAAATCCAAGTAATAAATTTTGTAGTGGGAAAATGCTTTATACCTGACCCATGTAGTCATTACACTCATGCTGTGTTGCTTATCTTTTATAAATCTCAACAGAGAAAGATGATCTTAATTTTTTTTTAAAAAGTAATTTTCTCTTACCTAGTGGAGTATTTTATCAGTGATTGAAAACATTAATTTCTTTTAGGTTATCTATTGAAAAGGTTTTTAATTGTTGGAGATACTTGTCCCTTGAATTGTGTAATATGTACATTTCCTTTTGGATTCTTGTCTTGTTTGCAAATACATGTTATTTTCATTGGCATTGCTATCCTGAGAACTATACTGAGAACCTTCTACTGATTCTTCAAGTAATGACTGCTGCGTTGCTGGCAGGTTTGCAGCTACCTGCTTTTTCAGCTTTTTTTGAGTGGGGATTTAATTCCTAATGGGATTAAACCAGTTTTTGCACTTCGAATAACTGAGCAGATGGAAGACAACCCATCAGATTTGTAACTTTAGTTTGGCCTGTGAACGTATATGAAGGCGAATAATATGCTTTGTTTCGAAATTAATCTAAAACTATCTGTATCCTGCTACTTGATACCCTGTCTTTTATTTAACTTTGTGTTACATTGTAATAGGGAAATGCCTTTTTTTTTAAATTCTTTCCCCCCTCCTGATAGGAAAGTGGAGCGTGAAGCACGAGGGCTGGCAAGACTTTCACATGAGAACATAGTGCGCTATCATTGCAGCTGGAGAGGGTACGACCGTATCAAGGGCTCAGGCCCAAGGTAACTACAAAATAATAGTTTGCATTCACAAACTTTCTTCACAGCTGTAGTGAACTTCATGCTATTCATAATTGGTTATCAATTATTTTAAAAATATAAACGCACACATGTGCAATCATACTGCTAGAGAAAGGGCACAGTATTTCCAGCAGCAGGTTGTGTGTCATTAAGTATATTTACATCTTCTTTTCCTTGATTAGTAAGGTACATTATATAATTTTATATTTCACTCCTCTCTTGATATATGGAACATAATGAATTTACAGAGGAGAGTAAGAATGCAGAACTCAAAATGTGGAGCAAGAATTAACAACAGAAAAAATTGTCTGTCACTTGGGTACCAAATTCCTGATCAGAAGTTTCCTTTTTATAATAAGTACTGGTCAGCCAGTAGCTATCATAGATTTAATTATTTCCCTAAGTTAGTATTTTAACCATGATGCTTGAAACAGCGATTTTGATTGTTTAGGAAAGGAATACAAAATGAAATGCTCTTGAATTTAGAGGTAGCCTTTTGACACTGAGACTTCTGGTAAACCAGTGGTGAGAGTTTTACTTCTAAGTTAAACTATTAACTTTTCCAAGATTTTGTGGTAAGCTTTTTTTACTAGCTGTGAATTCATACTCTTCACATGGGCTGCCATACTTACTTAGAGCCATAAAATATTAATGGATTCAAAATTATGGTTGGTGTGATACCTCTCCATTATTTTGCTCATTAAGTGAGCAGTAAAATGGCAGAAAAAAGTATGTCAAAACAGAACTATTAATACCTTGGAGCCTCATACCTTGGAGCCTCAATATAATGTATATATTTTACATTAAACAGTTACGGAGTAAAAGAACAAAAAGTCCCCAAAGCCAAGAACCCAGACTGGAATTTGTGACCTCAAGCCTGCAGAGTCCCAAGCCATTTAATGCTTGTTCTTTAAGTGTTTTGAGCAGCTTTATCCAAGGGCACTCATCACACAGCATATGTAGGGAAAAACCAGTGCATGCTTCTCTTTGTATTTTCCTTCCTCTCACCATCTCCAGCCTCAGCCTATCTTATGGGCTTCTCTGGAATGTGTGAGGCTGCCAGATGAATATATTTCATTGAATATTGTATTGAATATATTTCATCTAGATTTCTAGTCCTCAGAAGGGTTCCTGTGACTAGCAGAGCAATTACCTGCTTGACAGGACAGAGCTGGAAAGAACATGACCATTCTGGGCAGGATAGGAAGGCTGATCACTTCAGCAGAAACATGTCAGGGTCTTCCACCAGGTCCTACAAGGTGGAGCCAAGGACAATGGTATTTCTTCCTAGATAGGACATACTTCTAGGTATGAGGGAAATGGAACTTGGGCATTCAGAAAACCACCAGTGTGAAACTAGAAAGCAACCAAAACTTCAGAAATATTCCAGGAATATGTAGCAACTGAGCAGAGATTCTTTGAGTTGCAGTCCTTTTTATTTAATGCAAATTGCTGTAGGATTTTTCTTAAAATTAAGGGACTTGCAGACTGTGTTTTAGGTAACTCCAAAAAATAATTGTTAGCAAAAAGGGCTCTTGAAGATGACTTGGGGGGAATTGTATCTTGTCAATTTCAATATTGTATGTAATTTTCTTTTGAAGCCAGAATTCAGACCAAGAAATTTACTGTCTTTTCATCCAAATGGAATTCTGTGAACAAGGGACATTGGAAGACTGGGTTATAAAAAATAGCAAAGACCGAAAGTATCATGAAATGGCACAAAACAAATTTTTACAAATAGCGAAAGGAGTGCAATGTATTCATTCTGAAGAGTTAATTCATCGAGACCTCAAGGTATGTAGCATAGGTAAATAAAGAAAAAAACCCCAAAAAGTTAAAGGCAGTATACTTACTGAAATTGCAGAGAATGTTAAATTGTTTATAGTCTTGGCTTACTCTGTTATGTACCCTCGTGTGCTTCTTTGGTTATTGCTAGTGACTGATTCTCTTTCAGCAGTTGGCTGAACCTCATCCCAAAATCAGATGAACTTGGAAGATCTCAGAATACAATAGTTCAAAGAATCAGTAGTCATTAGCTAACAGGCATTTTCAGTGTGTTACTGGGTCACAAGTCTGCCTATTGGAAAAAGCAAAGTTGAGTCTAGAAAGTGGCTCTTGCCATTTTGTAAAGGGGTAGTTTATCTATCCTAATAAGTGCTGTGTTGGAAAACAACATCCTCTAGTTACTTTTCTATGCATACAAATGTTTGAGTGCTACAGTTTTGGATAAACTTTCAGTCTCTAGATATGCAGAGTCATAAGATGATTTTATTTCAGTATAAAGATTCTAAGGGACAAAGCCTTAATGGCTTCAGGATGGAAGCTATAATGTTGCTTACAGAGTTTTAAATCATTCATTTAGTGAAAAAAATCATTAGTGTGGTGGCATTCCTAGGGTTAAGTTAACTTCCCTGCCTGACCACTCAGGAGCCACTCTGGCAAATTCCCACCACCAGAGACCTTCACAGCTGGGACTGAAGTCCCTTTACAGCAGGCAGCTCCAGTGTACCCACAAGTGCCTCACTTGATCCCCCTACACACCCTGGCCATATTTGATGCTCAACATGGGGTTCAAACCCTTGACCCTGAGATTAGGAGTCTCATGCTCTACAAGCTGAGGTAGGGATGAGGCTGTGGTCGATCAGGAGTTCTGTTCTCCCATTTAATGCTCCTACTGTATCCATGTGCTGCTTGCTCACTTCCCCTTCCCCTGTGGCAGGCTAGGATACAGTTAATCCCAGTAGGTGGTACAGTGCTGTGTTTTGGGTTCAGTATTATAAGTAATGCTGATAACACACTGATGTTTTGGTTGCTACTAGGTAGTGTTTATTTTAAGTCAAAATACTATTTTTTTACATGGAAGAGGGGCTGATCTGGGCTCAGGAAGGGGATCTGGCATCAGTCAGTGGGTGGTGAGCAATTGTACTGTGCATAACTTGTTTTTCCTTGTTTTGGTTTTTAAAAGCCTTTTATTATCGTTATTATTTACATTATTATTGAATTTTTCTTTTGCTTCTATTACTAAACTGTTTTTAATACAGCTTACAAGTTTACTTTTGGTTCTCCCTCCCATTACACTGCATGGTGCTTAGTTGCCAACTTGTGTTAAGCCATGACACTGTCAAATTTAAAAAGGGGAAGTTTAATGTGAACATGATACTCTGAGATACATGTAGTAAGCCTTAACTCTGCATTTCATTTAGTACACATGATCCTTCTGTGCCTAGGAGAAACTCTGATTAGAGTGGAATTCCATGTAAGACTAAATGCTTTGCCTAAGTGTATCAAGTTCTGTGTAGGATTGAAGAGTGAAAAGCCCTTTGGGATATAGACTGTAATATGCACAATGTATTTGAAGAGCCGTTAAAACATGGCAGGGCTATGACTGAGCTAGTGGAAAAAAAGATGCAATTACTGCAGAAGGTACTACTTAAATCAAGTTTTAAAAACACAAACTAAATTTTAAGTTTTCCCTTTTTCTGCACCATCAGTTTGTTAATGCTACTTTCTGAACAATCATCAGATTTTAAGGGAAACACTTCTGTGGCTGATTATGCTTGGTGTGGTGATAAACCTTGGTCGTTTGGTAATTTTTTTTTCTTTTTATTTATATATATGAAAATAGCCTCAGAATATATTCATATCACATGATAATAAAATAAAAATAGGCGACTTTGGTCTTGTGACTTCTGTGGCATTTGAGACTCTGACTGAGAACAGAGGAACGAGATCGTATATGGCACCAGAACAGGTAATTGTCCTGCTGTATTAGTGTCTCTGTAATTAGATGTGCATTATAAACTCAGCATTGGATGTTCTCAATCCTAATCTCAAGAATAAATCAAGTTGCCTATAGTTCCCTGGTATGACTGTATGAGAGAATAACTGTACTGTGGAGAAAGCTTTATCACAAGTGTGGTAAAGATTTTTGCCCTGTGTGAACATAGAGTCTCACACTGCATGCTGTAAGGAATGCTCGTGTAAAACCAGGCTGCCAGACATATATTTAAATTTGAATTTAGGGCTCCTGTTAATTGCATCATTTGAGCTTCTCTCTTTGTTTCATTATTTGTCACAGGGCAATATTGGCATGCTTTATCTGTATAGGTATGTAGAAGTCTTAATTTCAGGGTGTTTAGTGTGACATAATAGTAACTATTTAACAGGTCTGAGGCAGAAAGGGTTAACAACTTAGAAGGATATTGAGTCAGGCCAGTCCTGTAGCCTTGGGGTAGAAATTTCTGCTGACTTCAAATTTTGCTTTTAGGAAGTGCTGTTCTCCAGTTGGATTTGATACTTGTATTGTTCTGTTCTAATCTTTCTAGATTGGGACCAAATACGGAAGGGAAGTAGATATTTATGCTTTGGGATTAATTTGGTTTGAAATTCTTTCGGCAATCACTGCTCATGAAAAAAGTAAGGTATGTAATCTTTAAATTTAAAAACTCCCACTGTTGTTGTTTTGCCTTGCTTCTGGTATCACTTATTGATAGCTAGAGATCACTTATTGATATCTGGTATTGATAGCTGGTACCACTTATTGATAGTTCTAGAAGGAATATCTTAAACTTGAGTAATATCTCTATTTATATCTTTTTCCTTAATTCATTTCCATAAAGCCTGTAAATCCTCATACCTCAGTTGAAATGTCATAACTGAGGGAAATACTACAGTTTATTCCACTTCTGTCCTACTACATATACACCAAAGCCCAAGCATGTTAAAGGATCATGTCATGCAAAAAAGGATGTCAAGTTTCTTATAAATTTTTTCTTGAATCAGAAATTTAAAGGGAATGTTTTTCTAATTTTAGAAAACAAAAATTATGGATGGGTGAGTTTTGTCTCTGCCATGTTCTTGTCTTCACTGTACAGTGGAGAAAGAAGAGTTTCTACCAAATCAAAACCCTTGCAGTTTTCCAAGATGAAAACAAAAGTGATTTGGAACATGTTACTTTAAGTGAAACAGATATTATTTCAAAAAGAAAGCCCATGTTACTTAAGCTTTTTTTTAAAAGGTATCCTGTATGTGCGTTGAGCTTTTTATGTGCAAACCTGCATATTGGTAGGACAGTGATGTAGCTGCTGGGTATCTTGTCCAAAGTAATTGTGGTTGGATTCAGCTTTTGAACAGCCAGATCCTTTTGCCAGTATGAGAAGATCATACCAGTGTGTCTGTTCAACTTGGCTCTCTCCAGCCACCTTGCAGTACTTCCTCAGATCTTCTGCTCCTGCTCACAGTTGACTGCAAATGCATGTGCAGTTCCATGGTGTTTACAGTTGGAAAAGCACCATTTCCTCAAACTATAAAAATCTTGTGCTCTGCAGGCAGGTGGGAAGGTTATGTGGATAGAAAGTCCTAAGATGGTCTTCAGCTGCTCCATTAGGTCAGAAAGAATTTCACTTAATGGAACATGACAAACTCTAGTGTTGCCAAGCCCTGCTGTAAAAACATCATGTAAAAGCAAAGTTGATTATTCTGTGCTGAGTTACTGGTTCAGTTATTGATCCCCAGCAGGTAAGGTCACAGGCCTGAAGCTACTGCTAAAGAGAAGGGAAAAAACTCCAAGTTCATGGGAGCTGTTGTTTTACTGGATAGCAGTTGTAAAGGGCTTGCTATGCCAGGCTTATGAGGATAGCTGATGATTCAGGATACACAGCTAAGTCCAAGAACATGACTGTCATCTTCAGGCAGACATTACACTAGTTAACAGCAAATGAATTAAGCAGACTGCCCTTTTTACCCAGAAAGCCACTTGCAGGATCACAGAATGGGTGAAGTTGGAAGGGGCCACTGCAGGTCATCTAGTGCAGCCTACCTCTTCAAGCAGGGTTCCCTAGAGCACACTACTTGGGCTTGTGTCCAGTGTATCTCCAGTCAGGGAGACTCCACAAGTTCTCTGGACAGTCAGTTCCAGTGCTCAGTCACCCACACAGTAAAGTTCTTCCTCATGTTCAGGTGGAGCTTCCTGTGCATCAGTTCCTGCCCATTGCCTCCTGTGCTACTGCTTGGCACCACGGAGCAGAGCCTGGCTCCATCCTCCTGGCACCTCCCTTCAGTGCTCACAGCCATTGATGAGGTCCCCTCTCAGGGCCTCTCTCCAGGCTGAACAGGCCCAGCTCCCTCAGCCTTTCCTCATTAGAGAGATGCTCCAGAGCCTCAATCATCTTTGTTACCCTCACTGGAGCCACTTCAGGGGCTCCATGTCTCTCCTGTCCTGAGGGGCCAGGACTGGACTCAGCACTGCAGATGTGCCTCAGCAGGGCTGGGCAGAGGGGCAGGATCAGCTCCCTTGAGCTGCTGGCACTGCCCTTCCTAATGAACCCCAGGATTCCCTTGGCCTTCTTGGCCACAAGGGCTCACTGCTGGCTCATGGATGGCTTGTTGCTCACCAGGACCCCCAGGTCCTTTTCCACAGAGCTGCTTTCCAGCAGGTCAGCCACCAGCCGGTGTTACTGCCCAGGGTTATTTCTCCCCAGGTGTGGACTCTGCATTTCCTGTTGTGGAATCTCACAAGGTTCCTCCCTGTCCATCTCTCCAGCCTGTTGAAGTCCTTCCCAAGGCCTGCACAGCCCTCTGGGGCATTGGCCACTCCTCCCAGCTTTGTGTCATCAGTGAACCTGCTGAGGAGGCATCTGCCCCTTCATTCAGGTCATCGATGAACAAGTTAAACAGTACTAGGCTCAGTATTGAAGCTAGGAGGACACCACTGGTGACAGGCCTCCTACTCGACCCTGTCCTGCTGAGTGTGACCCTCTGGGACCTGCTGTTCAGCCAGTTCTCAGTCCACCTCACCATCCATTTGTCCAGCCTGCTCTTCCTGAGCTTGCCTATCAGGATGTTGTGAGAGACACTGTCACAGAGAAAATAAATTAACTAAAAGCCAGTTCTAAAGCACGTAATGGCAAATCTTTTTTTAGTTGCTTTGAAGTCCATGTAGCATTTTATGCAATGACATAGAAATAAATGTGTGGTACTGGATATGATAAAAAGGAGGAAGCACACCTGCTTGGCTTGGAAACAGAAATTCAGTTGTCTTGCTTTTTTCTTTTCTTTCAATGTCATTAGACAATATAAATCCATTACTTTTAAATTAAGGAAAGAAAGATAATGGTTCTGAAATAGAGGAAGATTGAAACAATTGTTGTGTGTGAAGCTTTTAAGTTTAGAAATGGAAAATAATTGATGAAAAGGCCATAAAACCAAACCAAAGCACAACTAAATGAAAAAAGCCCCAACTTTCACTGTTTACAGTCACCTTTTGAAGCCTTACATTTCCTATAGATTTGTGTTTTCCTAACTACTTCAGTAAACTATATGGGTTATAAGGTGGAGATACAAAACATAACAAATGAAAGCATACCAAAACTATTCTGTTTTATGTATTTCAGGTATGGTCTTCTGCTAGGGAAGGTGAACTTCCAGAGTACTTCAAAAATCAATTTCCAGCAGAGGTATGGGATTTTAATATATTTTTGGTACTGTATTAATAAAAAAAAAAAACAAAAACAAAAAAAAAACCAAACCAAAAAAACCAAACTATTGACATTTAATTTTTTTTTTCAGGCATCCATAATCAAAAAGATGCTTTCAAGAGATCCTTCTGGAAGAATCACTATATCTCATCTACTTGACCTTCTTAATTCTGTTGATAAAGAGAAGGCACTTAGAAATTATTCTTATTGAATGTCCCTTCACACTGTGTCAAATCCAGAGTTTGATGAATTTATTACAATTGGTGAAATGACAACAGATGTTGGAAGCAACAGCAAGACTTGGGGTGTGTCTTTTCCTTGGCCACTTCACCATTTATATCTGCCAGCTGCAACCAGGACAGGGCAAGTCTGCAAGAAATCACACAGTTTTTACCTGGAAACATAGGTTGTGGATGAGCTGGACTGTTTCGCACAATAAGTACCTGCTCCTTTTCCCCTTTGAGATCGTGTTGATGTGCTAAAGTGCTAACTGGGTTGTGCTAAATCCCTGCATGTGCTGCACCCATTAGCCCTTAAGGTTATCTATTGCTTTCCATGGAAGAGCTGCTGTCTGGTGGTATGTGACTCAAACCTTTCTGATTTGTTCAGTGATACTGTTAATAATTATTGGAATGCTCCATTAGTACCAAGGCTAGTTTTGGCAGAAAAGGAAATAGGTGCACATTATTCTTCACTGAATTTCAGTACTATAAGTTTTCTTATCTCTCCACAGCTGCTGATGACCTAGCACCTTCAATGCTCTAGAATTTAAACTTGTAAAATGAGGATTTCTTTAAATGTTAAACATTCAGCTTCTAGGAAATCTAATTTAGAACAAAGCTCAATTTTGGAAAACTTTAGGTTTTTATGGTGTCTTTTTTGGAAAGGAACATTCAAGGTGCTATTAATATAGGACAATTCTCTTCATTATAGGAAAATTGCCTCAGTGGTAACCATTTGAAATCCTTGGCTGAAAGAGCACTTTAAACATTCCCATGCTTCTAGGTTTTAGTCCATTATTGTAATACTGAGGCATGCCTAATCCTGAATAACTGTACTCTGGTGTGCTCACTGACAGCCCCACAAAAGGGAACAGCAGGTTCTCTGCCACTCTTCATTTGTGAAAAGAGAGGCACATTTGTGAAAAGATAGGGGCTTGTCTTTGAGCTCTATCTTGTCAAACTGTTCATTGATGTGGGGTCAATGTAACTCCATAAGGGCAAATGAGCAGAGATTTCTAAGCAAAAAAATAGGTAATATGTGAAGTACTGTATGCTTTTTCTAATATGTTAAATGGGTTAAAAGTGGGTGACTGCTCTAAAAGAAATAGTACAGTGTTTATATTCTGAGGGAAATTACTGATGTTCTGGTGCAAGTATTTGTTGCTAAGTAAGAATGTGATTGTATAATTTTTAAGGCCTTACACTGCTTTCTTTTTTTCTCTTTATCATGAATGACATATATAGAATCATAGAATGGTTTGGGTTGGAAGGGACCTTAAAGATCATCCAGTTTCAACACCCCCTACCCTGGGCAGGGACACTTTCCAGTCAATGACATTACTCAAGGCCTTGTTTGAACACTGCCAGCAACAGGGTATCCACAGCTTCTCTAGGAAACCTGTTCAGTGCTTCATAATCTTCATAGTAAAGAATTTCTTCCCGGTATCTTATCTCAGCCTTTCACTTTGAAGCCATTCCTCCTTGTCCTGTCACTACATGCCCTTGGAAAAAGTCCCCTTCCAGCTCTTTTGGCAGCCCCTTTTAGGTACTGAAAGGCTGCTCTAAGCTCTCTGCAGAGCCTTCTCTTTTCCAGGCTGAACAATTCCAGCTCAAGCAACTTCATTTGCCAGTTCCCTCAGGACCAGTGGATGCATGTCAGCAGGTCCCATGGACTTGTGCACCTCTAGGTTCTTCAGATTTTCTTGAATCTAATTTTCTCCTTGACATCCCTGGCCAGATTGAATTCCTTCAGGGCTTTATGCTTTCCTAACCTTATCCTTGACTGGCATACATAAAGTATTTCACTATGCTAAACTAATTAGTATTTCTTTGCAGTGGTCAAGATCTGTGAGAAATTATATATCCTTACAGACAGAATACTACTATTGCTGCTTTCTCTTCTCTTTAATCTATTGGTTATATAAAAATAAACATATAAAATATGTTTAATCTATATAAATAAATTTGATCTATATAAATATATAATTGTTTTATCTATATAAAATTAACACATAGTTGGATTTGATGATCTTAAAGGTCTGTTCCAACCTAAACAATTCTATGAAACTATTCATAATATGAAAATGGACAATCTCTTGGCTGAATTTCCTTTACAGTTTTTGGACAGAGCAAAGTAGTATCATTACTTTCTTCCTGTTAAGTAATACTGTACCAGTGTGTAACAGTAGTTTGCACCAGGAGTTTTTGATATTTTCCGTGCATAGTATTTGTATATTTCATCATTAACTTTTTATAAATGGCTAGTTATAGTACCGACTGCTGTTACATAAAATACATTTTAATAGATCTTTTATTTTTAGGTAAAAAAAATGAAAACCCACCATCATGATCTAATTCTATTTAATTATGGAAAATATTCATCTTTATATACAACAGAATATTGGTTCAAGTAATATCACTGTCATGTTTCACAAGTTTTTTTTTTTCCCATCAAGTTTAAGATAGTAAGCAAAACCAGTCTGGTATTTAGGCATCTCTGTAAAGATGAAAAAACCTGGTTTAACACATTATGCAATAAAGTGATTGGCCAATAATTATGCCTTTACTCATACTTGAATTTTATTACCAGTTGGACAGTGCATAGACAATGATGTGAGAGACTGAACCTACCTCTCAATTATATAAGTTCAATTACAAATACCAACTTTTAATTCCTATTAAATTGTGCATCAAACAGAAAACATGAATTTAGCTTGTCAACTTAAACTCTTCTTCTGCATACTTTGGTATGAATTCTTGAGTATGGCATAGCTCCAAGCCTTTTAAAAAATACTATGAATTATACGTACTTATCTAGGGCTTCTTCCTTTAGATTGGCTTTAGTCATGATCTGCAGCACTGTCTCCAGGACAGTTTGAAGATAAATCTTCAGAGTCTACAGGATAAACAGGAAAAAAGTGAGTAATTGCAGCTCAGGGAAGGAAAAAATGGTTGCTAGAAGTATTTCTAGAATCCATGTAGAACAGATTAAATAGAATTCAAGGTTTACAAGTTAGTAACTCTCAAATTTGTTTTAAAACAAATTTAAAAACAAAAACAAATTCTACACTTTGGTGTTGTGAAAGTGGATGGTGTTCTAATTGTTTCAGAAACACCTGCCAACTTCTGCAACTTTTTATGGTATTGGTTTTAATATCTGAATTATGTTTTCTCAAAACTAATTAAATTTTAATATAAATTCAAATAAATTTCAGTATGGTTTGCTGTGTTTTGTTGTGTGTGGGTTTTTTTTTTTTTGTTTGCTTTCAGTTTTTCTGCATATAAACCTAAAACTTGCCTAGCAATCACAATAACAATATGTAAAAGCTTTGTGCAAAAACCAGCAGCCTGGAAGGTAAATTTGCTATGTAGATTTGGAAGCTGCAGAGAAAAGAGAAAAAAGAGAAAAAGAGAAAAACCAAGGCTATATTCTACAGCTGGAGTCTAGCTGCATAGGCAAAGTAAAGCACCTACAAAAGCTTGGCTCATTCTCACCTTCATAGGTTGTTCCACACCAAATACAATAGAAGTGCTCCTCTCTCAAATAGGCCGTCAGGATGTGCAGCTTTTCTGATACCTAGAGATAAGTACAGCTCTGTGATGACCTGGGCCTCACATGACATAAACCATTTTGAGCTACTGGCTTGCTAAAACCAAGTGTTTAACCTAATGCTGTACACATTACAATACTGGAGCTCAGTAGGACATGAAGTTTCCCACATTTGTAGAAGAGTGCACAGGAATTCATGATCTCTGGAAAGTTAATTCTTCTTTCCAGCTAAAAACCTGCACTGATCAGAGAGCTAAAAATATTACTTAGCTCCCTGATTTCATGTATATGGTATCTTCTGGGGATTTTTTCATATCTAATCTCTGCCAATTGAACACATAAGGCTAACAACAGCTGTGTAACCTAGTTCTTAAAAATATGTATTTCCAATGTCCATCTTGAGATAATCTGTGAAGCATTTTCAGAAATTAGTGACTCTAAACTTCCAACCAAAATTAAAACTCAAAAGCAAGTATCTGTGATTTTGTGTATCTTGGCTAAGGCAAAAAATAATTAAAATTTAATTTCTAGGCTAATTTTTTCAAAGATCAGCCTCAAAACACATGAGCAATATATCCCTGGTTTAATATGTTATAATTTAGCATGTAACTGCTATGAAAGTCAGTGCTCTGGGCTTGCAGAGAGACCCTTTACTAGAGTGTGGGAAACATGTATGTATATATACACACTGTTTCAAGGAATATTAAATTTAATTTTGAATTGAGCAATTAATTCCGTTGAAGAGCTTAAACTTACACTTAAGTCTGAGCTTGTGCATTCATCTTCTTCATCTTCCTCATCCTTTTTGTTTTCCTCTTCAGGTTCTATCCAAAACCAAGTCTCCTTGGGAACATCAATATCCTTAAATAACAAGGGATTTAAATGGAAATTATCTTTGTACGTTTTCTTGTAAAATGCTGGATAAAACTAATTTCTAGGAAGTGAGCTGTTAGCCTTTAAAACTTGCACGTGTAGTATAACCAAAAATTGCTAAAGCTGCAGGTATGTACAGCAGTCCACAAGACTTTTTTAAACTTTTTCACTTTTTTTTTTTTAACAATGCCAATGCTAACATCTAGTTCTGTTTCATCTATGTTTGGTATGTGCAAGGCTACACAGCAATGTAATCTCACACCAAGCCTGTGAGCAGATACCCTTGTTTATCAGTTGAAGATATGCCCCAAGTTATGTTATCAAGAGATCACACAGTGCTTCATAATTCACCTCAGGTAAAGTTAAAGGAAGCAAAGTAAACAAGGACAATCTAAGCCTAATTTAGCTGACTTCATTTGAAGCAAACTAAGTAATATTGAATAATCTCAGCAAAAATTATGAGGTGGTATTAACCTCCACCTGGTTAACAGAGGGGGGCAAAAGAACCCTTTAAGTTTTCCAGTGGCAAAAATTCATAGTGGTTCACTACTATTACCCATGTTATTCCTTGCAGGTGGAAGATACTTAGTTTTGTTTAGCTTTTTTTGTTTGCTTTTAATGCTACTTTGGTGAATTTGCTGACTCCCTCAATGATGATCCCCATTCTTGGAGGTACTAAAGATCTGCCTGGTCCTGGACAACCTGCTTTAAGTGACTCTGCTTGAGGAGAAAGGCTGAACACAATGACTTCCAAAGTCCATTCCCAATGTCAATCACTGCAGATGATGTTGCTCCCTCACTTGAAGCAAACAGCACCATTATATAGGAAGGCCTGATACTGGCTACTGGAAGATATGCAAACAGCTCAGAAGTAAGCACAAAAATCCAGAAGCAAAACCACAGGTCCTCATTAAGTTACCATGAGGTTGTTGTGTACCTTCAACTATCTTAATGGTACAGACATAGACTTTGAAATATTTTAAGAGGACTGAAGTGTTGCCAAACACCAAGACTTAAGCTAGTCACCCCACAGTTTCAGAGAACTTCCAAGAACTGAACCACTACATTGCAGCCTGTATCTCTAACCTCTTAATTTTTCCTTCCAACCCTCCAGAAAATCCCCCAGGTCTCACTTTTTGCATATCTAGTTGCTGGCAGGCCCTCTGGCTTTTTCGCAGGTCCCCTTCCATCTTACGTTCTTCTTGTTTGGTTTTGAATCTTATTCTGTTAAGGACAAGCAGAAATAAATAAGCAGGCAGCCACACAGTGACAGATGCATTACAAAACCCCAAAATCTAAGATTCTATTCCTACTAATTTTCTCAGAACAACACTGAAGTTTAAGAAGTCATTCTGACATTATTTCTGTGGGAGCACACTTGTATTTCTTGGGAATTACACCTTCAAGATACCTTTTCTGACCACACTACACTCTTTCTTCATTAGGTTTTCCTAAGACATAAAAAACTGGTCCACTAAACATCTGCAACAGATAGAGCCTTTCCTCAGTTTCTCCACATATTACAAGAAGATCAGGAGAAAACCAAAACATTACAATCTTTAAAAATGTACCCTGACTTTTAAAACCATTATACCAACAGTGCTCAGGAATATCTGTGGATTTTATATTTCAAAATATGTTTCTCCAATTAAAAGAGCTGCACATGACTTGAGAAAAGTTAGTATCTATGCTGTTTGCCTTATTAACAATTACACAACTAAAAGGTGCAGCACATGCTTTTAGCATTACAGTGTTCATCTGCTTTTGCTTTAGAACTGAGAAACAATTACGCTGTATTGTAACTCTCCACCTTCATTCAAAACATTCAAAAATACTAGCACATTAAAAGAATAGCCAAATGTGGGATCTCAGGATTTGAGTCCCGGGATGCAGGGCCCCCGAGACCACCCTTGGGGGGCCCGGGAGTCCTGGAATGTTGCCAGAAGTGTCTGGTGGCAGGACTTTGACCCTACACGGGAGACGACACCTTTATGAAGATAAGAGGGCCTCACCGGGGTGAAGGGTGGAAAGATTAGCTAATTAGAGGGTGAGAAACAGGGTTTAGGATTTATGTACAGGGGGGTTTAGAGGAGTAAGATGGAGGAATTGGGGTGTGTCCTGCCCTCCTTCTTCTTCCTCCTCTCCTCCATCTTCTTTGGCCACGGTGGCACCTTTGGATTGGTTATTACTAAGAGTACACCGAGTTATAAGAATAGATGGTATTGGGGAAAAATGATAAATATTGTATACGTAACTAGGGGTATAAAGATACGTGGCGGTCCGTGGGACGGCACAGTGTGCCCATGGCTGACTGCTGTGCGGATCTTTGTTAGGCTGAAAGAACATCTTTTAGATAAACAATTAATAAACATAAAACCAGAAAGAAGAACTGAAGCCTCTTCTCGTCCTTCGACACGCGGGCTGCCCCAAGGCCACCCCCGGGCCTTCCAGGCCCCTCAAACAGCCGAGATAAACCGGACAGCCAAACACCAGCAAAAGAATTGCTATTTAGACATTCCTTGGAATATCAGTTGTATGACTTTACCTGAACTGATCTGCAGCTTGTTCATTTGCTTGTTTTTTCATATGGAGTTTTTGTCTATAGTTTTCCAGTTTTTCTTCAGCTTTTCTCTTTTTTAATTCCTCATGACCAAGCCCACTTCTACCTATGTAAGTTTAAAAGATGAATGTAAGCAGTTGAGAAGCTCTGATATATAACTAAATAAATAAATCAGAAAGCACCACAAACCTGTTTTTATGTTCAGAGGAATAGGTTCAACAATGCCTTCTCCTGTGAGAGAAAAAAAAAAGTCAATTTAAAAACCAGAGATTTTTCAAACAATGATTTGTGCAGTATATTCAAGTAGGCATTTGCCATTATTGTGATCTTTTTGCTTGGAAGCTGAAAGTTTCCCAATCAATATATATTTAGTGCACTACAAATGACACAGCTGTACTGGAAAGTCCCTCTCTTTCTTGGCTTGTCTGCTGGAATCCTATGTACTTTTTTTTGACAGGACCAAAGTGAAAGAAAAGGCATTGACGTGACAGGTGCAAGATGCCTGTGATGAAGACTGCTTTGTTACTGCCTTCTGGAGCCTTTTCATTCTGCAATCTCACAACAATGATGAAGAATAAAAAGAGTCTGTCTGGGCCAGTTCATTGTGGTTGTCTGCCAGAGATGCTGAACTGGCACAGCAGTTATTAATTCCTTGTTTTACTGATTTTACTTCATCCATTAAGGCTTCATAAGGGCAGGCCAGTGTGCACTGTTTCTTTTTCAAAATCCATCTATAAATTTCAAGAGGGTCTGATGGTTTTTTTGAACACTATTAGCTTTGCAAAACCCACATCCTTAATGCAATTCCTGTAGGTATGAAGGTACACAAGTGCACTTACTGAGCTGAAAGTGCTGCTTGTCCCCTGCATCCCTCAACAGTCTGTATTATTTTTACTTCAGTTGTAGGGATTTGCTCTCATATTTTGTTCTGTCATGGCACCTTCACAGTTCTGTAATGCTATGGCTCTCCAAGAGGCACTTACTGACCTGTCAACAAATGAAGTGACAGCTGCAGTCTGTAAAATATTAAGGTATAACTGAATACAGACATACACTTCCAGAGAGCGACAAACTTACCACTTTTGCCAAGGGCCTGGCCGCTCTTGTAGCCCATCTTCTGGAGCAAAGCAAAGCCTTTGTTCTCGTTGCCCAATGCACTTTTCAGTACCAAGTCACGTCTCTCTTTTTCTTCTTCTTTTATTCTTTTTTGTCTGTTCTTCTCATTGGCTTCTTTTTGCTTTTCTTCTTTCTGAATAGCTTCCTTCACCCGCCTCACCATGGGCAAGCCTGGCCTGACATCCTGTCTGCGGGTTAGTAATTCCAGCAAATATTAGCGTGTGTTTTCCTTTTTCAACAGGTTTACAATCACTTAAGAGGGGTGAAAAAAAAAGACCTGCCTACTTACTTAAGAAATAAATCAGACATATAGTCTTCCTCTTCATCTCCCTCCATGCTTAGCACGCCTCTATGCCGACGCCTCGCCTATGGACACCGTCAGTGCGCGTCACCGAGCATTTTATTTCTCTGTGCGTCCCCTGCGAAGTGGGGGACGGCGGGGCCGAGTGACGAAAACACCCGAACCCGCCGGGCCGGGGTACCCGCGCCCGCGCCCAAGCCCACAGCGCGTCTGCCGGGGCTCCGCTACGACCACCACGGGCGGCCGCGACGCCGCTCCACGCCCGGGAGCCCCCGCGAGCTGCAGCCGAGCGCCAGGAGCAGGGACAGCGGCGGAAGCAGCTCAGGAACCGCGCACCCACCGGGCCCGACCCGGCCCGGCCGCTCCGCGGCGCCTGCGCGGGGCCGCCCCCGCCCGCCGGCGCCTGCGCCTCTCCCGCTTCCTGCTGCACGGCCGCGGTGCCTCCGCGCGACCGGGCTGCGTCGGGGCCGGCTCGGGGCAGCGCCGCCCGTGTCCCCCTCAGCGCCCCTCATCGCCCGTCGGAGCCGGGCACGGCGGGGGCCGAAGCGGCCGAGCTCACCGGTGATGGTGCCGAGGGCGAGCGGGGGGCAGCGCGCCCACGCCTGTCCGTGACCGGCCCCCGGGGCCGCGGTGTCGCGCCTGGTGCAGCCCGGAGCTGGCGGGACGCGGCCGGCGCTCGGGAGGAGCGTAAGTGACCGTGAGCGGCGCGGTGCGGGCCGGCGGCTGCGGCGGAGCGGGACAGGCTCCGCGCTCCCCCTCGGCGCTGGCCGAGGTGTGGGGGTCGCTGTGCGCGTCCGCGTGAGGGGGTGAGCGCTGGGAAAGCAGCGGGCATCGTTTCCCTGGCATCGGCTCCTCAGCGGCATTGCCTGAGCATCCATCCCTGACGGCCGGCACTGCACCGCTGCGGTACCTCCTGAGGGGCTTTCAGAGCCAGGCATGATGCCCTGAGAGCTGCTGCAGCTTACTGAAGTAGCCGATACAGGTAGAGGACCCAGGAACGAAAACGTTTTCACCTGCTGGAGTCCTTCAGGAGTGTGTGGCTTCGCCTAAAGTTGCCTGTTTCTCGGCTTTATCACTTCATTGAAATCCACGCATGATGAAGATACAACTAGTTGATTTAGGCATAGGGAAACAGCTGGGGAATAGAAAGGAATTTTAGTACCTCTGAACGTTTTGGAATCTCTGATGCTCCAGCATACCTCACTGGCTGCTGGTTGGCTTTGGCTCTGCATCCCGCGGGACATCACAGTGTATTTATTTCTTGTAACATTCACCGCAAGATCCTTGCCAGGATCGGTGAAACTCGGTAGGCTTCTCACTGCTTTTTGGAGCAAACCTTTGGCCAGCGTCAGTGAGCTTTGGATTGTCTATGTAAGTAGCTCTGTGTTAGACTGACTCTTCAGTTAGCTGAATATTTGTGTAATTATTCTTGTGTCTGATGCCTTGTGCTTCACCAGCACAGCCTTAGAGCCTGTGTTTCCCACATTTTAGATGAAGTGGGGAAGGTGCATAAGGTGTCCATGGCTCTTATGGCCAGGGGCAAATGAAACCTTGTATGTGGGGAGGAAAAGGAATCATGAGCTGTGCTGTCCACCAGTGCTCATGGTACTTTTGTGCTGTGTGGGTGTGACAAGCAGTGCAGATCTCTGGGATGATATCCAAAAAATCACAGTGCCATCATTCATTGTGTCTCTGCTCTCGTGTTAAGGTGTTTTGAGGTGATGTGGCTGAGTTACTGACAGGCAATGTCTTCTCAGTTCTTTATAAATGTAAAGAAAAAACAAACAAAAAAACACAATGTCTTCAGAGGAGTTAGGGAGGTCTGTGTGTGCTTCTTTCCATGTGTGGCTCTTCCACCTTTGCTGGTACTGTATTCTGTGAGAAATAGGCAAGGTGAAGTGCAGAGAACAACCTTAGCATTAAATACAGTGTGATGCTTTCATTTCATCATTAAGGTGGATTTAGAATAATACATCATTAATAATATGGCATTAATATGTCTTCTTACTAATGTCTCAGTTGGGGACTATTTAAAAAAAATCAATTTAAGCCATTTCATTTAACTTTAAGATCATGAATGAGGAAGCAGCTGAGAGCTCTTGAGAGCAAAAGTGGAGCAGTGCAGCTGTCAAAAGATGATGCCTGTTGAAAGCTGATGTCTTACATAATAGTCTGTAGTTGTGTTGCTTTCTCTTTTTTTGCCTGGGATCCTAGTTTCAGCATCTCTCTATTCAGGTTTTGGGGTTGGGTTGCTTTTTTGCTTCTTGGGTTTCTATTTGCTGAAGGTTGTTGATTTAATGTTTTGATTTTGGGTAATTTTTTTGAGTTTTTTCCTTCTGTCAGCTCTGCATTCCATAGCTACACTTTTCTTCAGGTGGTTTGCTGAGATGACGTTGGCAGAGCGTTTGCTTGCACTGACAGTGTGCTTTTGGTAGTGCTTTGATGCCAGCCCCATTGATTGAGCAGGATCACCAGTGTTCCATCTGCAGGATTTTCCTGCTGGGGAGACCTGCAGTAGTATGGCTGCTGTGTTTTGGGCTGTCAGCCCTAAGGTTGCTGGATTTCAGGGATCTTGCTTGTCCAGCACTTAAAGCAAGACTAGTGGGATCAGGGAAATCTTAGGTCACTGATGCCAAATCCTATCCCTGTTCCTGCTTCTCCCAAACTTGTGTTGGCTGGACATTCCTGCTTGTGTCAGGCTCATCTTCTCAGCTTGGCTGTTGGAGGGTGTGGAGAAGGGAGCCAGGTTCATGCCCCAGCTTTGGGAGTGTGCTCAAGGGTCTTGAGTTGCAACAATCCTTTTTCTCTTTCATGTAAGTGGAGCCAGTGAGATGATTCCTTTACCTTCTTTAAACAGGGACTTCGGTATATTTTTCTTGGCTGAGAGTTTGTGCCCTGAAATTGCCTGTAGGTGCTCTTTTTACAATTAACAGTTCTGTTCCCTGAAATACTAATGAATGGACTCAGTTTGTAAATATGTGAGTAGTTTTTATGTGGGACTATTTAGCTAAGTCTAAGCAAGCTGAATATTATAATTTGATTTTCAAATCTATGTACTGTACTTTATACTAACATTTGCATTTTTATTTTAGAGTTTCTACACAAATTTGCAATAAAATTGGAATTCAACCCATTATGGAGCTGGCTCATAGTTTGTTACTGAATGAGGAAGCATTAGCTCAAATCACAGAAGCAAAGAGACCAGTTTTTATCTTTGAATGGTTGAGATTTTTGGATAAAGTGCTGGTAGCTGCTAACAAGGTAATTTAATGGGTTTTTTTTCCCTTATTTCTAAATAAAATTTCTTTAAAAAAGCATTTGTATTAATTTCATGCCAGAGAAAGTTTACAGGCAATGGCCAGATGGTACCTGTATGGCTTCAGATTCAGCCTGAAGAGCCTGTGTGCTAATTTGTAGATTTTAAATGTTTAATTTTAGGCAGTCAGTAGGCAGCTGGTAAGTATTTTTAAAAAGTAAAAATGAAATAGGACAGCAGCTAATTCTGAGCATTTAGCATCTGTCTCTGCTGTTGTTGAATGCATCTCATATCTCTCTGAGACAATTTGCTGAGTTATATGCAGTTGGGAGTGGTGTAAAGTTTACTTCCATTTCTTGTAGATTTTTCTGGATTATGCAGTGGATTAAACTACTTTTCTTACTTATTTTTAATCTGTTAACAGACAGATGTCAAGGAAAAACAGAAGAAACTTGTAGAACAGCTAACAGGACTCATCAGCAGTTCCCCTGGGCCACCCACACGGAAGCTGCTTGCAAAAAATCTGGCTGCTCTCTACAGCATTGGAGACACATTTACTGTTTTTCAGACACTTGACAAGTGTAATGACATCATCAAGAGCAAAGATGACACTGCAGCCTACCTGCCCACTAAACTGTATGTTTGGGGAAAGGGGAATGATTTTTAAGCCAAGTGGTCTTAGATATTACAGAAGAACCTGCCTGTATATGTGCACACTATGTTTATTTATATTTTGTGTGGTTGGTTGGAGTTACATATGCCTGATACAGGTAGCAGAGAAAAGTGCTGGATTGAGGTTGTGGAGGGCAGGACTGCAAGGTGACACATGCATGTCTCTGTGAAGGTGAAATGGTTTTCTCTAGGCCAGGTACTGTGTTATGACTCTTCACCTGCTTATGGCATGGAGAGGATAACCATTAATGAAGCCTTTCCACCAGTGGAATTGCTGCTGATTGTGCTCAGCTGTCCCATTGAAGGTGGAACCTGCAGATTGTCAAACCAGAGTGTTGTCTGTGCCTAGAGAATTGTAACCAAATATTCAAGTTTTTTTTCCCCATCAGATTTCTATTCCCCTACCATGCTAAGCTGCACAGGTCTCTCAGGCAGATTCTCTACATGTGGATATGTGTGTGCATGGATGTGTGATCCAGTTTGTCTTTAGTCATAGGAGCAGTCTCATTGGTAGGAATTTGGTTAATGCCACAAACAACTTCCACTGAAACTGTTTCTGGTACTTTCCCATGTAATGCTTCATATATTCTTGGTTTCTAGTGAGCCCAAATTTGGTCTTGCCTTCAGACGTTATGACAACATTAGGATTTGACAATAAAATCTAAAATAGTCACTGTTTGGGCAGATACTGTCCTCTTATTTCTAGCTCTTGCAGCTGTATGAGGAACTTGTGTAAGTGCGAAGTGTTTTCTACTGTAATATGCTCTGAAATTTATGCTACAAAGTCATAGTCCAGGAGGTTTTTTAATGGACAAATGCCCATTAAAGGGGAGGCTGTAATGAGTTTGTGATGCAACTTTGCTAAAATACTATTTAGCCAGCAATTACAGATTAAAAAAAAAAAGGCTCATTCCTTTGTAATGAAAAAATGCATGTGTTCAGGAGCTGCTTCTGTGGCTGTCCTGGAACAGTTTGTGTATGTAACTGCAGTGTGGTGATAACTAAGTATTCCTAATCTCAAATGGCAGAGCAAGAAAAATATGTGAATAATAGGATCCAAAAATTTTACAGTGCCTGTAAATTTTCCTGTGTTATGCAATAATTTTTGCATTTCAAGTTCTTAGTCTTGAAAAAAACCCATATTTCAGTATCTACAAAAATGTGTCAGGTTACATTGCAGGCTAGAGGCTTTCTTGCTTAGCAAAGAGACAGTTTATTGAAACACAAAATCCTAATCTTACTGGGATTTCAGCCTGTCTTGTTTTCTCCAGAATTTTTTTACTCTATGTGTAGATCCTATAGTAATACCTTTCAAATGCATTTGTATTCTTAAAAGCTGGCAACTGTTCTGTTGCTTTTTTTGGTAAACAAAAAGATTATTCTAATGGCCTGTGTAAACAGTCAGTATAAGTAGTGGATAGCAAATAGATTTTTATTCATCAATGTTGATTAGAACATACATTTCTATTTAACTATTTGTTTTTGTTTGGATGATACATTAATATGTGTACTCTTTTTCTCTGTTTTCTCATAGGGCTGCTGTGGCATGTGTTGGAGCATTTTATGAAAAAATGGGGAGAATGCTGGGTAGTTCTTTTCCAGAAACTGTGAATAACCTGTTAAAGTCGCTGAAAAGTGCAGAGGTAAGTTTCAGTTTGTTTATGTGGTCTTAATTCCATTTTAAACTGAAACCTGCTTCCTCCAGCATTGTTTGCCAGATTGTCCAGATTGTTTTTCTTCTGCACTGAAGGGTGCAAATCACTTACCTGGCTAGTTTCAAGTCTACTGCAGGGAGTTTAGACTTTGTCATGTGAATATTGTAATAGTTACTTCATAGTGGTGTCAGTAATTAAAATTCAGAAATTTCTGTATCTGTCATTTCTAACTACTGTGCTAGGGTTTTTGCCTATGTACTCTGAATAAATATTTAGTTGTTAAAATTAATAATGAATGCTTAAATATTGTGGGGAGGTTGTTACTCTGCATGTGAGCAAAATACATTGTGTCCTGAAAAGAGAGAGTGTGTCATAATATTGAGAGGATGTATCCTGGGCTGCCAGTGGGTCTGTTTGTATGCAAATAGCTCTGTTGGGACAAGTTGGAATACAAACTGTGTGGGTCTTGTGGTGGCAACTGTTTTCTTCAGCTGTGTTGTTTACCTGTGTGACTGTTTATTTATTTATCTATCTATCTGTCTATCTATCTATCTATCTATCTATCTATCTATCTATTTATTTAATGTATTTATTTATGTGTGTATGCTCTCAGATTGTAAGTACCTGCCTGTGTGCAGGTATAGCATGAAACTGCTATCTTACTTGAGTTTCCCATTCTCTCTTACCAGCTGCTTTTTCTCTTTTCACCCCAAATCTGCAGTTGATAAATAGTGGGGCAGTGCAGAAGCATTTTACCTAGAGCCAGTTTGTTGGCTTGCCTGGGTTCAATTTATGTCACAACTGAGAGACTTTAAGTAAAGCTGTGTGTGGTGTTTACTTCTTTTTAAAATGAGCTATGTATCAGTGATATATGCCTTTATTTTCAACATTTGCAAAAGCATTCCTACATAGAAGCAGGAAAAAGCATTAGTATACACCTGGTTCATAATGTAACTGCTGTGTCCACATTTTTACATCAATGTTTTTGTGTGTGTGCAGTCTCAGGGCCGCAGTGAAATCCTGATGAGTTTGCAGAAAGTCCTCAATGGACTTGGAGGAGCAGCAGCTTCTTGTCACCGTGACATTTATAAGAATGCCCGGTCTCTGCTGACGGACAGATCGATGGCTGTGCGCTGTGCCGTGGCCAAGGTGGGTGTCTTCTCACCAGCCACACACGTTCTCGTGCTGTGACTAGGGAGTGCCTGCACTTGAACTGGCACCTGTTGTTCAGGAAGGGAAATTTGGTAATTAGTTGGACAAACTGAGTCCTTTAGTTTGCACTAGAGGCTCAGACCTTTGACTGGTACTTAATACTGTATTCCCTACTTGATAAAAAAGTATGAGATAGAATATGTTATCTGTGAGCCTCAGTGGGAGAGGTTTTTGGTAACATGGTTCTTGTGTAGAGCTTTCTTTTAATTTTTTAATTTGTGTTTTAGCCTCTTCCATGACTCTTCTGATTGTTTACTCAGCTAAGATAGATGGCATGTTGGACAGTGTGTCTAAATTAATTATTGAAATTTTCACATTAAAATACTTTCTGAATAAACTTGACGATTGCAGCCTGATACTTAGAGAAAATGGAAGAATGGTCTCCTGGTGCTTAGCAAGTCTATTTTTCCTACAGTGTCTGCTGGAATTACAGAATGAAGCAGTGTTTATGTGGACAGCTGAACTAGAGAATGTTGCAACGCTGTGCTTTAAAGCTCTGGAAAACTCAAACTATGGTGTGCGAGTTGCAGTGTCAAAGCTTTTGGGGACAGTCATGGCTACAGCGCTGATACCAAAACAGGCAACAGGTACGAGCCCTTCTGGATTCCATGTCTACAGTGGCACCTTCAGTACCATGTTACATTGACAGTGCTGCATGGCACATTGCTGCTCCAGTAGATGGAAGCTTGTGGATGGATTGTTTGTTTTTATAAACATTAAGCTAAAAAGAGTGCAGAATTTCTGTTGTAGAAAGAAAAGCCAGAACAAACTATCAAAAACCACTTGGGAGAAGTGGCTTATTTTTTAAACGTGCAAGTAAATTTTTATCTGAAATATTGGCTAGATTTGTTTTTGCAAGACAATTTTGAATTAATAAGTCTGATTTCAAGATCATTGCTTGTGTTGGTTGGAGCTTTGGGAACAAATAATTACTTTTCTTTTTAAAAAGTGATGCGGCAAAATGTGAAGAGAGCCACACTTGAGGAGGTCTTGGAGCTCATGGCCACAGGATTTCTGCGAGGGGGATCTGGGTTCCTGAAGAGTGGTGGAGAGATGTTAAAAGTGGGAGGATCTGTCAATAGGGAAGTGCGAGTTGGTGTTACCCAGGTTTGTAATTTTTTTAAATGAAGTCAAATTTATACATAATTCCTTTTAGTAGGAAAAATATGCATTTCTATTCTCTACTTCTGTGTAAGTTCATTTACAGGTCTAATTTGACTCTTCTGTTTTGTGAGATGTACATGAGGTATCATTCCCTGATCTACTTTCTTCTATTATTGATATGCAGTAACAACAGATTAAAATAAGAGCTAAGGAAAATTTACTAGATCAGTGTATATTAGGTGAGATTAACTTGCAAAAATATTAGAAAACTTAGTATGTTAAAGACTTTACTTCCTTTTTAAAATTTGGTTTCTTTTTAGAGAGGGTGCTCTGTTACCCTTTTGGGGCACCTGAATGTGGAAGCTTCTCTTGTCTGATAGAGAAAGGTGGTGGCAGCATCTCTTCAAATTCAAACATTCTCATGCTGACATGTATTTCAATATGCTGCAGTACGTTCCCAGAATCCAGATTTTTGATCACAGGTTATTTTGTGAAAACCTTTATTTTGTCTCAGCCTTTTTCAGGTGAACTTGGTGAATATTCCAGGTTTTCATTGTGAGCTGGAACACGTTGATGTTGCTTTTATTTACATGGTGTTCTTAACTTTTTTAGAAAGAGACACCGGGTTTTTTTGCTGTCATCCAAAGTGTATTTTATGCATCACAGTACAGGGGCTACTCTTGGTGCTGGAGAAAGTTGAGTTTCAGCAGCAAAGATGTGAATACTGAATTGGTTCGTGCTGAGTAACCTCATTAGGTTAGGGTTGCTTATTGCTAACTGATGTTGCTACTGTTGTGCATTAGAGCCTGGCTGTAGTTTCACACAGTCTTTTGTTTCTGTTTTAACTGGGTTGCTGTGTGACTTGTGGATCTGCAGGCCTACGTTGTGTTCGTTACCACACTGGGAGGGCAGTGGCTGGAGCGCAACTTTGCCACCTTTCTGTCCCACGTGCTTGACCTGGTGTCCCATCCTCGTGCAACCCAGACCCACGTGGAGGCCGTGTACTCTCGAAGATGTGTGTCCTTTATCCTGAGAGCAACTGTGGGCAGCTTGCTGGGGGAGAAAGCACAGATTGCAGCTGCCAAGGAAATATGTCAAGCCATTGCTAAACAAATGAAGGCAGTGGGTGAGAACTGGTTTTATTCATTTAAGACCACTTGAATGTTACTGTCATTTTAGTGAGGCAGCCATTTTTTAGCTTTCTTCTACTGGGAGGAGTAATTTTGTTCTTATGGGAAATGATAGTTCATCTGCTTTCTGTTTCAAATGTTCAAAGGTTGAGTTGTGCTTCAAAAGTGATTGTATGGCACTGGCTGGTTATCCCAGAGAGCAAATGCATTGTCAAAGGCCTAAAATGGAAGTGGAGAAGAAAACTATGCATTTGCCATTATCTTGGGATAGGTTGTATTGAAAGTCACGCAGAGTTCTTTACTAACAGTGTTGAAAATCCTGTAGCTTAAGATCTTGTAGATCCTTGTGTCTCCCCTGCTAATAACCATACCAATGTCCAATTGGATTTTGTGATGAAAATGATGTAATCTGAAGAATATGACCCCTTTGCAGAACTTTGCAGAATATAGAATCACTTAGAGAGATAACAAAACTCTCTTGGCATCTGTTTCTTATGAAAGGAAGCAGCTCAAGCTGGAGATTTAAAAGAGTAAATTGGAAATACCCATTATTTTATTTACCAAACATATCTTTCTTTTCTGCTATCATCTAATTGGAGTTTAAAACAATGCTTAACATGTGGAAATGAATTTGATTTGAAAACTCTTGCAGGTTCTTCTTGTAACAATTTTTTGATGGGGTAGGCATGAGACTTTAAAAGGTTTCTCATTACTGTAAGTACTAATTCCAAGAAAACAAGTCTATTGAAAATGCTCTTTCTGAGAAGAAGCAGTTGCAGAAAATACTCCTCCTGCCACTTTGTCAAAGTTGCAGGAAATTCAGTTGTGTATTTGGATAGTTTGAAGAACTTACATATTTTTGAGGATTTCTCATGAATGTGATGAAAAAAGGGAAGGGTTTTTTCGGTTTTTACTTGGTAATAATTGCTTCCCTTCATATACAGCAGACCATTCTCTTAAATTTCTTCTGTAGTAGGCACACAAAGATTAAGCTGGTACTGAAGTCCCTTTTTGAAGACATAGTTTCTGCTTCTGGGATATTTTGTAGGAGAACATACTATGGGATTAAGGAACTCAATTGGATAACACTGAGATGATTACAAATTGTGATTAATTATTTACTAAAGGTCTCTTTTTTAGTTTCACTGAACATACATGCATGCAAATTTGTATGCAGAACCTAGATATGTCAAGATTGCATATTTTGTTACTGTATAAATGCACACATACAGTTACACTGTTTGTCCTACTTCTTAGTGCTTTGCTATCCATAGTAGCTGCTGGGCATCTGTTTTTTATGGTCTTTGGACAGCTGTGTTTGGCTGATAGCCATAAAATTCTTTCCCCGCTGAATGTGTTTGTTTTGTTAGTTTTCACTGTGACCAGACTTGTGCTTTTGTTTTAATGTAGGATTGATGTCAAAATGAAACTGTCACTTTCTGTCCTGTGAGTGCTCGGGTGGGATTCTGTTCATAATTAAGCAAGACATTCTTGTTTTCTTTTCTGCAGAAGCAGTAGTGAATGATGCTAACAGTGAGAATAAATCGGGAGCTGCTGATGTAGCTGCAAGCCAGCATGTGATGGTGTGTGCCCTCCAGGAGCTGGGTAGTCTGGTTCAGAGTCTGAATGCCACTGCATCTCCTCTTATTCAGGAACCCTCTATTGGTATGCAAATAAATGCAAATAGATTAAGTGAGGCATTTGAGTAATGAATATGAAATATCATTAAATCTAGTTAAATAGTCAATGAATATGAAATAAATAAATCTATGAAATTGGTACTTCCTGTAGTACTCCAGATAGCTACATTTGTCCACCTCACTGTGTGTAGTACCCTAACTTTAGTTCAAGTCTGACCAAATATTAAACAGCTGTTTGGATAGGAGTCTTTCTGAAGCTCTTTCTGAGGGTGAGTGAAGTGGTAATTTTTGGTATTGGTTTGTTTACAATAATGGTTTTATAGGAAGTACATTATTTTGCTATGTAAGGTCTGAAATCTTTGTTCCTGGAAAACATTGCCCTTAAATACCAAATTATTGGGGGGAAGCAAAAGTATTTTGTTGAGATGAAGCTGTTGGTAGGCCCCTTTAAAAGAAGTAGTTCTTTGGCTGAAGTTGGTGTGGGATTTTCTTCTTGTTTGTTTCAATATCTGAATCCACATTTATTCTGTAGTGTTACAGCTTTAAATTTTTGGAGTTTGTGGAGGCTTATGTTTTTTCCACTGGAAGTATGAGCTTCTTTAGACACTTCATCATATAGATTGTTGTCTTGTTGCATATGACATTCTTCCCATACTCATTTTGTGCCAGCTTTGGAGTAGGGAAGACTGCTCGTATTTATTCCTTCTGTCAGCTGTGTCCCATAAGAACAGAGGGAACTGGAATTCAGTATTATTTCTGTTAGCTGTGAACTCAGCAGGTAGAAGTTGTTCACAGCTCCTGAGAAAGCAAGCAGCAGTGGGGGCTTTGAAGATTTGGACTAAAGAAAATGTTTGTGTGGAGACAAATGGAACTGAACGGTGCAGTTAGAAAGTGGGATTAGGTAGGCAATTAGAAGTTTGGAGAGTGTAGAAGGATATAAACTTGCTGCAGGGTGGACAGCACCATGTCAAAAGCAGAGTACAGGGGTCAGTGACATCTATAGCATGTGCTTGGCTACTCTGTTACTGGCAATCTGTAAAATATTATGGGAATTGTCTCATCCTGTGCCTGTTCTCTTCTATAGCCCTGCTGCCTCTTTTCAGTGTTTAAGTATTAGGAGTCAGTGCTGTGGCTCTGACGGCTCCACCTTTGCTGACAAAACCTGATGGGGAGCAGCATAATGCCAGTAACAAGTACCATATTTCCTGAAAAGGCATAGTCAGCAAATCTAAGTACTTTAATTCTTACTGTCTTAACTTTCACATTGGCTGTTTGGTACTGATTCAGTTTACTTCTTGTGTATATTAAAAAGGATGTGTGTATTAAAAAGTGCATCATAAGTTAAAGACTGCAACCTCTCATTTCTGTAGGTCTGTTGGAGACAGTAACTTCAGTTCTTCTTCACCCCAGCATGGCTGCTCGGCTGGCTGCTGCCTGGTGCTTGCGGTGTGTGGCTGTGGCATTGCCCTTTCAGTTGACTCCATTTTTAGACAGATGTGCAGAAAGACTCAACAATCTGAAGACCTCCCCTGAAGCTGTTAGTGGCTACAGTTTTGCAATGGCTGCTTTGTTAGGTGGTGTGCATCAGTGTCCTCTAGGCATTCCTCATGCCAAAGGAAAGGTGAGATAGTGAGTGTTTTATCTGTGAGTGCACTAAAGATACCTTTTTATCTACAAGTAAAAGCTTTGCAAAATGGGTGGCATGCTAATGAGCATAATTGAAACTGAGCTTGTGCCTTGTGCGAGAATAGTGGCCAGAGCACATGGTTTTAGAATCTCAGTTGCAATATTTAACAGCTCTTTTCTTCTCTTTCAAATTTGATGAAGAGAAATTGAAATGTTGAAAAATTGCTGGAGAGAATATTGCTGGCTTTGTTATCATACAAAAACCACTAATCATCAGCATGAAATATAATCTGCATTCATTCTTTATGGAAGGTCAATTCCAATGATTTGAGAACATCTTTAATCTGTAAGAGTGAACAAGTAGAATAGCTTGCAGTGGCTTCATTTACGTTTCTAAAAGCCCCTGTGTTTTGCTCTGGTGCAGATGGTGGTCAGTATTGCTGAGGATCTGTTACGAACTGCTGCACAGAACAGCAGGCTCTCCTTGCAGCGGACTCAAGCTGGATGGCTTTTACTTGGAGCTCTTATGACTTTAGGTTTGTAAAAATGGTTTGATTTTTCTTTTTATTTTAAAGCTTGTCCAACACTTCTGATTATCTGCTTGACAAATGGTCTTTACACATAATGGGCTCATTATCCAGCACAAGAGTATTTATACAGGGGAAGCAGAGTGTAAGTGCACTTACTTTCAGCAACATTGTGTTGTGGAGAAGTGAAATATTAGTGCTTATCTAAGCTGAAGTAGGTAGAAGGTGTCATACCTGAAAAAAAAATCCTGTTCTGGTTTTAGAAACCCAGCCTTTAGTCATTTTCTCAAAGGGCAAAATTACCCTTACTCTTTCTTCCTTAATACTGTAGTGCTGAAGAAATGGACAGTAAATGAAACCCAGTGAGCATTCCAACAAGTTGCATGTGTGTCTCTAGGTAGACAGCAGCACTGTGTAGAAGAGTTGTCAGTTCAAAAGCCCTTTGGTTTTCTTGTAAAAAAGCCAGCCTCATGTTTGTATCTGCCATTACAGAAGTATCACAAGCTGCATTTTGAGAGGTTGTAAGTATACTCTTGAATGTGGCAGCAGTGGTATTCTTTTCTGGTTTGTTTGGAGTTTCTTTTATATGGGAAAAAATTTTATCTGATGTATTTTGCAATATTTTGATCTCTCATCAAATACCATTTGTGTTTCATCTCATTTCTCTAAGTTGTCTCTAACTAGTTTATCGTCATATTTTTCTAACAGTGTACTTCTATTCTGGTTGTCCTCCAATATATTTTTAATGTACTTGCACTGGATCTTTTTCAGAAGTTTCAAAAGAAACTTGACTGTTAAACTAATTTACATAATCAATAACTATCAGTTGTTTTTCTATTTATTTTATGGGCAGAGTAGATCAGGCTAAAGAACCTGTCTTCAAAATTAATATAAAAAAATTAGAAGCCAGAATAAAAAGATAGTAAAAAGACAGTTGGCCATGGTTCTGTATGGCATGACAATGGGTAGGGTAGTCTGTTTCCTGTTTTAGGAGTGATACCCACAAGCAGATGTGATGTACAGTACTTATTTGCCACACTTTCAACCTAGGAATGAGAAAAAATTTCTTTTGGTTTTAATTGTTCCAAGTAGGGCAGAAAGGAAGAGAAGTGAAATAAGACAAAAATAGTTTGAAGAGCAAAAGCCTTCACAGCAGATGTTTCACACTTAACTACACATTTTTATTATCCTGTCACTTTTTTTTCTACTTAGGTCCTTCTGTTGTCCGGTATCATCTGCCTAAGATGTTGCTGCTGTGGCGAAACGTGTTCCCACGTTCTCTGAAGGAGCTGGAAGCAGAGAAGGCAAGAGGAGATTCTTTCACCTGGCAAGTAACACTGGAAGGCCGTGCTGGAGCTCTGTGTGGTAAGAAATTCAGAGTTTGAGATTATACCTGCACAGTCAACCAAAACGTGATCCCAAGTATTGCAGAGAGAAGTCCTGTAACTTCCCCTCTTTCTTTGAAAAGGAGTGAAATGTGTCAGATTTTCATCAGTATGTCCTGGCTTTGACATACAGTTTTATGAACAGATCACACAGTCTTTGAATAAACATTTTTAATTGCTGCTCTTTTGATATTCTCAGAATTTGTATCTTGTTTATGTCTTATACTTGTTTGTTTCAGTGAAAGTTTAATTTAAACCGTTCTGTTATTAGCTATGAGAAGCTTTGTTGCTCACTGCCCTGAGCTCCTTACTGAGGATGTGATCAGGAAACTGATGACACCCATAGAATGTGCCATGACAATGATGTCACAGTAAGTAGGCAGTTTCTGCTCTTCATTCACTTTTGTCTTTTCCTGGTCTTGAAATACTAGAACTAATTTGGAGTTGGGTTTTGTGGTTTGGTGTCTGCCCCTTCCCCCTGCCCTACCTGTAATTAAAATAGGACTCTCCGAGGAAGTGCGTGTCACTGATTTATGGCAACATACGTTGTGGGTTCCTTGAGCTTATAATTAAGGTTTTCTCTGTACAATTACTTCTGAAAATGTATCATTAATTGAGTAATGTTGTTCAGAGTGGTTCTCTGAACACTGTTTTCTTGCCTTGCCTGGAGTTACATCCTGTGAAAAGAAATCTGAAAATACTCTCTTCTGTAACTGCAACATTTCTGGTTTCTCTTTTTCATTTTTAATTCTCTAGCATTCCATCGGTAATTAAAGCCCATGGAGCTCATCTCAAAGCCAGTGCAGCTATGGTTCGTTTAAGACTTTATGATATATTGGCTTTATTGCCCCCAAAGACATATGAAGGTACATAAATTTTTAACAGTTTTTGTTAAAGTAAAAATTCTGCTTAGTACTTGTGATGCATATCTTTGAAGCAGCTGTAAGAGTCAAAATATAATTTGAGGAATCTCCAAGAATTTTGTACTATATTCCTCATCTTCTGTATGTCATCTTGATAATATAGCTACAGAGTATGAGTACTGAAAAGCATTCATAGAGTAACACTTGGAGTGTAGCAGTTATGGTCCCCTTTGTAGGATTGAAAGGTATGGAGATCATGGTCTGGGATCAAATAATAGTTTTTTAGGTCATTGTTACTTAAAAGGTAGAGAACTCTTATTTTTTAGTATACTGAAAAGCAGATGTGACAGTGGAGGTTTAGTTTTGGTTACATTCAGGTTTTTTATTTGGTTGGCTTGATTGTTTTGCTTTTTAAACCTGATTTGCTCTATTTCACACATCTGGTAATAGTAAATTGCCAACTACTGTCACACAGTGACAACATGAACTTTTTGGGTTTCTTTGGTTTTTTTGTTAATTCATTATGTCTACATGATCATGTGGATGAACATGTTTTTTTTTTTCTACATCTGGATTGTCATCCTGTAGGGATGGTCCAATTTGTTGTTTAGAACAGGACACAGTTCTAAGTAATGTGCTCTAGTGAATTCTGCTTGAGCAGAAGGTGGGGGTAGATGACCTCCAGTGGTTTCCAACCTTATCTATTATTTAGGTATTTGGGTACCCATGATTTGGGAATTGAGAGCCTACAGTTCCATTTGAAGCCTTGCTCTCAGGTTTACTTCTGTTAGCTACCTCTAAAACTGAAGTACTGGTACATTTATAACTTCTGATCACTGGCTGCAGTGTTTTGGCTAAGAAGCAGTGGTGATTCTTTGTAATGTCTGTCCTTCTAGGATCATTTAATGCGCTTCTTCGAGAGCTGGTAGCGGAATTTACTTTGACAGACAACTCTGCTAATACTACCACATCACTCCTAAGGTCTCTCTGTCATTATGATGATAGTGTTCTGCTCGGCTCTTGGCTGCAGGAAACAGATCATAAGTCAATTGAAGATCAGGTAACAAAAAAAGCTAAAAGAATGAATTATCTGCCCTGTCTGTGTGGTGCGTGTGTGGGGAAGCCTTCTAAAACTGAAGCTTCATACCTTGTTTTTAGTCTTATTTCAGAGCTTTTTTAGATGTAAGTGCTTCCATCTCCAGGGTACTGTTTTGATTAAAAACCATCTACAGCTGAGATATAAATTGCATAATGCTACTCATAGGGTTGTGCTTAGGGAACCAGCCTCATTTCTTTTTTAAAAAAACTCTAACTCAATATCTCTTCCTGTCTGCCAATCTTCCTAGCCTAGAAGTTGTTCTCATATAAAGTTTTTGAATTAGGAGAAATGTAGGTTCCACTTAACATGTTTCATAATGAAACTGCTGTCAAAATGTCAATATTGCAAATGGTGTTATAGCAAAACAAGATTTAACTGGTTTTATAGCTGTAGTAAGAAATCTTACATTAAGACACAATGTTGTTGGCTGAAAACTCCTCTTCTGCAACAGCCATCTAATCTGAGGGTGTCTCGGAAAGTTTGATTGGAGCAGATCCAAAAGCCAAGACTGATACCAAGGGTGTGGGAAGATTTCTGAGCCAAGATCAGCATGTCGAAGCAAAAAAGAGTTTTACAAACTTCCTTTCTTTGTTGTGGAGGACATAGTAAATTTCCAGTGCAGGCTTCAATGCACAGAGCTTTTTCACTCCCTCCTGCCTCCTTTTTTTTTTTCCTTCACTTCCTGCCTGTAAAACAGTGGCAGTGTGTGCTCACAGCCCAGAAAGCCGCTGGAATCCTGGGTGCATCAAAAGCAGTGCGGCCAGCAGGATGAAGAGGTGTTTCTGCCCCTCTCCTCTTGTGTCCCCAACATAAGGAGGACATGGAGCTGTTGGGAGCAGGTCCAGACGAGGGACACAAAGTTGATAGGAGGACTGGAGCACCTCCCCTGTGATGTTGGGCTGAGACAGTTGGGGCTGTTCATCCTGGAGAAGGAGAGAAGGTTGCTTGGAGACCTCAGAACAATCTTCCAGTATCTGAAGGGGGCCTACAGGGAAGCTGGAGGGGGACTCTTCGTCTGGAACTGTAGTGATAGGACAAGGAGTAACAGGTACAAATTGAAAGGGGGAATTTAGGTTAGCTATTAGAAAGAAATTTTTCACTGTGAGAGTGATGAGACATTGGAATGATTGCTGTGGGAAGTTTTGGATGCCCCAGCCCTGGCACTGTTCAAAGCCAGGGTGGATAAGGCCTTGAGCAACCTGTTCTAGTGGAAGATGTCCCTCCTCATGGTAGGGTAGCTTTGGACCAGATGATCTTTAGGATCCATTCCAGCCCCTAAATTTCTATCATTCTATGATTCCCTTGTGCTTAGTCATGTTTTATTTTTTAATGATATAGAGGCGTCAACAAACCTTGCTGTGTTTTCTGGCCTTCTAAGAATACAGACCTACTAGATTCTAATTTTGTTTCATGATTAAATAATTGATAAGAATATAGAATTTTCTTCAGAGAAAATAGATGATTGTTTAATAGTTTCATGGAAGAATGATGATTAGGAAGTATTTCCTGGATGATAAGAGAGTTTATAATTTTAGTAGTATTTCTAATTCTTTCTGTGTAGGGCATATCATAGCCAAAACCGATAATTTAATACACTGTACTGTAACTCTCAGAGAGTGACTGAATAATCTTCTATCTGAAATGGTATTTCATATTCAATGGTTCAGAAACTACTATTAATACCAGAATTAATCTGCTTTTCTCTTAATTTTCATCTCTTAATACCAGAAATTATAGTTTGTGTATTTATCTGGCTGTTAACAATTTTGACCCTTCAGAATTCAGCTGACCCTGTAAATGCTAATATGTAAGCATGAGGATATTGCACTTTGTATTCAGATGCTTGTAAGCTATTCTCTTGTTTTAACTACTACATATATGTCTTGGTTATCTCTAGTTCCAAATTTTATGTGCAAAGGTATATTCAGAGGTATTGATGTGTGGAATTTTGCAGCTCCAGCCAAACAGTGCGTCTGGAAGTGGTGCTCTGGAACATGATCCCTCTTCCATTTATTTGCGCATCCCTGCTGGTGAAGCTGTGCCTGGTCCCCTTCCTTTGGGAGTATCTGTCATTGATGCATCTGTGGCTCTCTTTGGTGTGGTTTTTCCTCATGTCTCTTACAAACATAGGTCAGTTTACATCAGTGTTCAATTTCAGAACCTAATGCCTTGTTTCTCTGGGTACTGTTGTGTTGGAGACTTTTTTATTTGTTTGTTTGTTTGTTTTTTTCCTGAAATAAGAATTGTCTAAGGTATCAACTGTCTTTAAATTCAGAGTTTAGTATTTCATGCCCATTGTGTCTCAGGATTCCAGATGTGTGTAATCACTTTAGAAATAAAGTGATTTCCTCAGTTTTATCTTTTTGAAGATTGGTGTTCAGAGATGGAGACTAGATCCTTCTCTTTTCATACTGAATTTAACAGTAGTAATATCTCTGCAACCAAAATTTCCTGTAAAAGTACCCATTGCAATTAACTTCAAATCAACCTTGAAAACAGCAGGGGCCTCCACTGAATTTCATTTGGCTGCCATAAGTAAGACCATTTGATTTATAGTCAGCAATGAATTGTATGCACAATGAAAAAGAGGAAATGGAGTTCAACGTATTTTCCTTTGTGTTTCACATTACCTCTACAGAGTTATGAGTTGTCAGGACTAATTTTGTTACTCAGTTTAGGCAATTTGTCCCTGAGCACAGAGTGAAAACAGTTCTAAGAAGCATTTCAAAGTAAAATCAGCTTTCAGTGGAAATCTTTTGGGAGCAGTTTTTTCATAGCAGTCAACCTAATTTTGTAGTAAGTGCAGGATAGACTTGAGACCAGCTTGGTGTAATTCACCTTAGTCTATACCTGTTGTTAATGGTGAAAAGATGTAGCTTGGGAACTGCTGAGTAATTAAGAATGCAGTTTATTCATTACATTCCTGTTTTTGGTATCTTCAAGGGGATGTTCCTCCTCCCAGTAATGTTTTCTGGGGAGGAGTGGGGACTGGAATGGATGTTAAATGGGAAAAACAATAGAAACAGAAAAACAAATATGAAGGGTAACACTATTTTAAATGGTAGTGGAAAGACAGCATTTTTCCACTCTGGCCCTCATAGCTTTCCTGTTATGCAGCCAAATGCACCTGAAGATTTACTTCCTCTTGGTGGTGTTTTCTTCAAAGGAATAGTAAATATTTGTGGATGAACTAGAAGAACCAGCAAAGGGATGTTCAGAGTAGTTCTGCTGTTATTACTTATGGGAAATACCTTTTGCAGCCCCTGAAGGAGAAGCTCTGCTAGTGAACTTAAAAGGCCCTTTTGTTCTGTGTGGTTTTTACCAGCTGTGCTTTAGTTTGTATTTTGAAAGGCTATCTCTTCAATTATGTTGTTCTTCTGTTACAGATTACAGATGTTGGATCACTTTGCTGAATGTGTCAAGCAGGCTAAAGGTGTTCGCCAGCAAGCTGTGCAGCTTAATATCTTTACTGCTGTTCTTAGTGCCTTGAAGGTAGGACTTGTAAACTTGTGATGAAAGCCCAAGTTCATCAGTTTGCATTCAGTACAAAGGGCTGTTAGAAGAGTGTTACTAAAGTTACTCAAGAATTCAGAAATCTTAAAATTCCAGAATTGAATTTTTTCTGGATACTAGCTTAAGCTCTTGTCTTCATGTGTCAGTACAGAGAACAGATGAGGCTCATGACTGCATTCTACAATCATCAGCATTCTATAGTATTCAGCATTCTATAGTAATCAGACTGTCTTTTCTTCTTCAGTCCTCTGGTTTTATTTACACTGGACTCATGGATTTAAGTACTTTATCATGTGTACTCAGAAAACCCCTCAAGTCACAGAGTATTGTGCAGATGTGGCTTGTGTAACTGAATACACAAATAGCTCTGGGTTTACATTTTGGTTGCCTTATTGCACAGAGCTCTAGGTGCTTATGCCCAGTCCCACTGACTGCAGCTACTGCTGTGTGCTGTCTGTCCAGACCTGGAAGTGCAACCTGGTGCTATCAAGTCAGAAAGTAAGAGAGTCAGAAAGTCAGAAATGACTGCCCAGTTTAAGCTGTTACTGGAACTCCATGTCTTTGGTTGATTGGCAAAATTGGCAAAACAGCACCTGGTTCTTTGCATTGAAACGCAAAAAACGTGATTTACAATGCTACAAGTTGAAATGTAGATTCCGAGGCAGATTTCTGGAAGCTCCCATGCCATGCCAAGTGTTCAAAAAATGGACAAAATTGAGCTGAAGTGAGGACTCCAGAAAATTAAGATCTAAGGTAGAGCCTTTGACTTCTTGCTCTATAGTGCATGCAGTGTTTTTGCTTTACATGTGTTTAATTATTTCTCCCAGATTAAAAGAAGCTGCAAAAGCGCTGTTTAGTGTTACTGTTTTGTAGAGTGTTAATATAAAGGGCTGTATAAATGTTTGGAAGGATGTGATTATAAAGAAAAAAATACTTTCATGTATCTATAATGTCTTCAATTTAAGTAATTCTTGTAGAAATGTAACCGGTCGGTAGTTTCTATTAGATTTTTGCTGTTAGATTTTTAAACCTTCTCCTTTATTTTTCCTGAGGTGTTCCATATAAAGCTAGATCAGATTTGGTGGGATTAGGGTGCATGTAGGTAATACATTTGATAAAAAAGACTGGTGCAACAGGTCTTCCTGTCTGTGAAATAGGTAGAATATTGACAAACATCATGAGACCCAGCATGTTGTTGATTTTGAGTTTCAAATGTTTTCAACCAATTTATTTTAGGATAAACTACCACAAATGGAAACAAAAGCAAAAGTGCATAGTTTTCACTTGATGGTCTCAAATATATTTTCTTCTTCCCTGCATTGGGCTATTATTGGATTCTTCTTTTTTTTTTTCTTTTAATTTTTACTGTAGGGTTTAGCTGAGAATAAAAGCACATTAGGACCAGAAGAAGTCCGCAAATCTGCTTTGACGCTTGTAATGGGTGCCCTTGATAATCCTAACCCTATTCTGAGATGTGCAGCAGGTGAAGCTCTTGGCAGAATGGCTCAAGTGGTTGGAGAAGCCTCTTTCATTGCTAGAATGGCTCAGTACAGTTTTGATAAGTAAGTTGATTTTAATTCAGAAAATGAAATAAAATAGTAATTTAATATAATATGTAATCTAATGTAGTTTGGAAGATTCCTTTTCTAAATACCATATTCATTATTCTGTTCTTTCGTGCTCGATTCCTATGGTTACACAGATCTAAGAAACCTTTAAACAGATTCTTCTCTTTTGGATTTATTTCATGTGAGGAATAAAAGCTGACTTGTTAAACGCTTGGAATGTGAAATGATACTGATGAACAGCTTTTGAGGAGTTACCTGAAGGTGACTAAACTGTATCAGATAGATAAGCACAGATTACATTAAGTATGTCAGTAATGTCAATTATGTAATAGTGGTTCTGTTTCACTCTCTACACATTGATTTAACTGATTTACTGGCCTGTATTTTTTTTCATATTCTGTTGTTTGTCTTGGGTCTTTAGAAAGATATCTGGTAGAAGCAACAATACAGTATGTTTCCCAATTTCTTACCTAAATTTAAGGCATCAGCATATTTCTGAATCAGAATGCAGTTGCCTCAGGGCTACAGCCCTTGTTTTTGGCTGGGCCAGGTGCATGAGCATGGCCTCAGTCCAGCTCTCTTACCTCTGAGTAGTTAAATTTTTCTCACCCTTTCATCTTGTAATAAAGTACATCATCCTTGCTGTCTTTCATTGAATTTCTATTACTGAGACTTCCCTTGGTTTCTTATCTAGATTAACTTGTTAGTGGTTGTCATTCTGTTGACAGTCAAGTGATTTTTTTTTATATTTGAGATGTGCATTTACTTTGTTGTTTGCTGATGGCCGAGAGCGTGCATGTTTCTCCTATACAGTCAACCTGGGGAAAAAATCTTTGTCCTTATTAGGAAATCCCTCTTCCTCACCCGCTGAAAAGGGTTCTAATTACTAAGTGATGTATGTGACATGCACTCAGAAGCAGTATTGTGGAAAATACTCAATAAGTCAATGCATACAACTTCCTGCAACCAAATAATTCAAAATGCAACTCATTCTGTTTCAGTTTCATTATAAAAGGCTTTTTATTTAAAAAAATAAAAAGGCTCTCTTGCAAAAGCCATAAAAATCAGCTGTAGAAGAAAACAGCTATATAAAAAAACTGGATTTGCCAGTTTTTCATTTCTCAGTGTGTGTTGTCATTTTTTTATTCTTAATTCCTTTTTACATCAGTGGTTTTGGAATGATTATTAAATTAGTCTGCTCTGAAACAATTGCAAAATCTGGATTCTTTTTCTATATCTGTCTAAACTCTTCTTCATCTAAAAGGTCAAGTTCTAACCAGAAAAAAAGAAAATAATTATTAAAATACCTTATTTTCCTCTTGTTTTATATGTAACCTGGATTAATAGCAATCTAGAGTAAGTACATTGTTTTTGCTGTTGTTTAAGCTTCTCAAGATTTTGTAAGATGGCCTGCAAAACTATTAGTCTTTTGCACTGTTGTGGTACTTCTAAGATTCTGTGTAACAAACTTACCTAATGAAGTGATTTCTTTATATTTTAACATTGATAGGTTAAAATCTGCTCGAGATGTTGTATCAAGAACAGGGCATTCCTTGGCTCTGGGTTGTCTCCATCGTTATGTTGGTGGAATAGGTTCTGGACAGCATTTGAAAACTAGTGTCAGTATTCTCTTGGCTTTGGCACAAGATGGAACCTCTCCTGAAGTCCAGGTAAAAAAAAAAACAACAATCACCACAAAATTACTCAAAATGTTCAAGATGAAGATTAAAAATTAAGCTACATGTTCAGATATTCTTTAGTAGATGTTGTCACATGTAAGATGTGTAGCGTGTGCCGGGGAGTGTGAAGAAAGTGAATCTTTTCTTACAAACTCCCAGAGTACAGAATCCCAAAGATACAGTGTAATTAAAATGTAACTTCATGGCAATTTAGGGAGGCAGTTGGAAGTGGTCAGGTTAATTCAGAAGGACATGTGTCTGCTTGTCAGCTGTGCCAGAGTGATGCACTGTGGGCATATTCCAAACTGCCTTTACAGCAACACATGCTAGTATTGTCTTTGCTGCCTAAAAGGAAGCTTTTAATAGCTGGTGGCTGACATGTAATCACTTACTGGAGTCTCAGGTGATGAGCAGTAGTTTCCTTTGCAGATATCACATACACAGGACATCATCTTTGCAGGGTTATGTTATGAACACAGAAATCTGTTGCAAGCGAAATTGCAGTTAGGGGGCAGAAGGGGAATCAGTAGGAGGCAAGTCTAAGATAGGGAGGGATTTCTGTCTGCTGTGGACTATAGGTTTGTGAAGTCTCACAGGAGGACATCTTGACTGCTAAAGTTGCTGGTCTAATAGAAAGGGGACTGAACATGCTGTTGAAAGAGTAATGGTTTTGGAGAGTAGTGGCACTTTATACCCACAGCCTGAGAAGATGAAGCCCCCAGTAACTATAAAGAATCATACTTACACCTTGGTTTACTGTTAACTTGATAGAACATGCACTTGAGTTCCTTCTTACTTCTTTTCCTCAGGGCAGTAAAAAAAACAAAGTAACACGGTTTATCAGTTGGGAAGACAAGCCTAGTTTTTTTTGGAGATAGTGTTAAAAAAATCTATAAATACAGCTTTAAGTCTCTTTTGAATTTTCTTAGTTTAAGGAAAGATAATGTGCAATTTACATATGTAACCAACTTCAAGTATGAGTGGGTAATTTGAGGTATGTAATTGTGCACCAGTAATTCCAAAAAGAAATTGGAAAGGTTAATGTTTTATAAAAAAAAAAAAAAAAAAGAAAAATAAGTATAAAGGGGAAGTCCAGGCTGAACTTGCATATCTACCTTACTCTCTGTTGAGAATAGAGCACCCTGCCACTGTGAAAAACTAAGCTTTTAAACCTCATCCCTCACTGAATCAGTGTGGTTACACAGAAACTGTGTGGAAGTATGAATAATGGAAGTTTACAGGAATGAAAGGATAAGCTGTAATGTGCTACCACAGGATTAGGACTGTAGAGGTAGTTAGATGGTTGCTAGTGCTAATGGCTTTTGGATTGCATCAGAGGGGATTAAAAGGCAGCAATTTAAAGGCAGGTTTTCCAGCTTATTCCTAAGAGTCTAGCTTTGTAGTAGTAATAGTCTTTTATCTTAGTCATGTGTTTAATGTGAGAAAATTCTGAAGCAGGATCATTTAGTAGGGTGTTATGGGGAGATAGCTAATGCTTTCAGGTATGTCAGTGGAATTTATTTCCAATGAAGTGTCAGTATTTAAAAGGACAGTCCTCTTACCTGCTTCTTGCTTTGACAATTACAATAAATTACTTTGCTCTTTTGTTGTTTACTCACCTTCAACTGAAACAGGTCTGTCTTTCACCATTTTTCCCCTCATGCTATAGTACACTGACTGAACAATACTGCTTTTTTCTCTTGTACTGCTAATAAGAAAGTTAGAAAGATGCATGTGAACCTTTCAGCTTGTCATGAAAATAATTTCCTATTGGAATATAAAAGACCATCTCTGCTAAGGGCTTTGTAAGTTGCCCATTTCAGACTCTGCCTCCAGTTTTATAGTGGAATGATTTGCTCTTTCTCCTGTTCCAAGTCACTTTTCTTTTTTATTTTTTGTTTTAAGTGGATGTGTTGTTTGTGCTTGTATTTTTCTTTGAAGTTCTTAAGCATATTTTTTCTCAAATTCTTTGTCACCTCATTTCCATTATCCCCAGAACTGCTGATAACCAAACAATATGTTAGATATATTGAAACTCAGGTGATTGCTTGAGGTCTGGGAAATTTGGAAACACTTCTGGAGTCAGAGTAGTAAATTAGATGTGCTTAAGAACAGGAGTACAGAGCTAGGCTCCAACTGCATAAAAAACTGTTTAATTTCCTGAATGCATTACTGAAAAAACCTTCCTTTGTGTTTGTGGTAGACCTGGTCTCTCCATTCCCTTGCCTTGATCGTGGATTCCAGTGGGCCAATGTACCGTGGGTACGTGGAGCCGACGCTGTCACTCGTTCTCACGCTGCTCTTGACTGTCCCACCATCACACACAGAAGTGCATCAGTGCCTGGGCAGGTGCCTTGGGGCTATAATAACTACTGTTGGGCCTGAGCTGCAAGGTGAGTGGCAATTTGATGTGAAACAGAAAATCTACCTTGTATAAAGATGATATTATAACCTTAAATGGAAGAATATAAGTTTTTGTTAGTTACAGGTGGGGGGGCAGTGTTGGCTGTTTCAGTCACAGTCATGCAAACAACCTCATGCTGATCCTCTTTGTGACTGCCTGGGGCTTTTTTGACTGCAGTTTGAGATTTGTATAAAGAAGTTGCAGTGATGTATGGTGTTTTGGCTAATGGTAAATTTGCATGGTAGGTAAGCCATGGAACCCTTGCTGCATATTTTACTGGGTGTATCTTTGTGGGCCATCAGACAAGCTTTTTCCTCCATTTTTTTAAGATGTGTTTATTTAATTTTAAGCTGATGGCAAGAGCTTAAGTTTGATTCAATGGGTGATACTGTGAACTATAACTAATTTCCATTGATTCTTGATATCCTTAGATCTCTGTACCTTATGGTAGAGACTTAAAATCTTGTCATGCCGAACACTGTGTCTGAAATTCTGTGCCTCAGGTGTTAAAACCACAGATTTGTGACTTTGTCTAACTGGGATTTTTAGGACTATTTATAGGATGATCTTTGATCTCTCTGGTCTAGAATGCCAGAGAGGCACTAATGGAATTTTAACTCTAAATGGCTAGACTTAAGATTTTAATTATGACATAATTCTAGGTTGTTTAAAAGAACTTGTGTATCTGTTAACCTTTTGACCTGGAATATGGTTAACTTTTAAAATAACAACTTAAGTAGAATGCCTTCTGCAGGTTATATTTCTGTAATTGAAAATATTTTTATAAACCCGATGTGGATTAATTCTTAAAAAGCAGAATTGGATTGTTCTTCAAATCAAATACTGTTCTTTTAAAATGCTTGTTCTACAGAGCATAGATGAGTGCTGCTCATCTGTTGGAGCTAATTAAAATTGTCTGCATAGATAGATATGAACTTAAAGCGTTACCTGATATTTTAGGAAATGGCTCAGTGCGTGAAATGTTGCTTCTACATATATAGAATGAAAGAAACTTTTAAAATCTAACTTCAGATAATTAACTGGTTTCATGACCTGAGAAGATAGTCTCACAGTATTTCTGACTGGAGATTATTGATCCAGAATTTTATTTTATTTATTGATCCAGAATTTTATTTGGACAGCATGTTACTTAACTGAGCTAAAATAGAGATACTGAAACACTGCAGTGTTTCTCATTTGCATGGTAAATCAGAAAAGTTGCATGTTAATTTGAGAACTCTTTTTTTTGTGTTATTGAAGCTTTAATAAATCTTGCTTCTCAAAGGTTTAAAGTCTGCAGATGTGATAGAAAAGTTTTGCTGTGTTAAGGATATCCTCTTACATGATTAGGTAACGGAGCTACGATTTCAACAATCCGTTCTTCCTGTTTGGTGGGATGTGCAATCACACAAGACCATTCAGACTCACTTGTTCAGGCAGCTGCTATATCCTGCCTTCAGCAGCTCCATATGTTTGCACCACGGCATGTCAACCTGTCCAGTCTGGTTCCCAGTCTTTGTGTGAGTATCAAGTGCATCCCTTTTGGTCCTCCAAGTTTTTTGCATGTGCTTAGCAGAGGACAGGGAAAATATTTAGCAAGATGTCAAGGATAGCCATATGTAATAAGCAAGTAATATTTGTAAAAACCCTGGAGTCCCCAAGCTATTTTACATATTTTCAGAATGCTGCCCAAACTGAAGTCATAGGGGCTGATTGTTTTTCACCCTCAGTAGTGTAAGATAGCAAGCATTTATGAATAATATAACTGAGTAAAAAAGGTTCTGAAATGCTCTGTTTGCTCCAACTGGTTGCATGCAAAGAGGGAAGTGAGCAAGCTGGGAATAGATAGCAGATGTTGGATTTATGTTACCACTGTCAGAATATTAGGGGCTGACATACAAACTCTTGTGCTGTTGCTGTTAATGTTGCCACCTTGTTTCATTAGTGTTCTGTCAGCAAGTCCTGGCTTGAAGGCCTGGAAGTAAGTCAAAGACTTGAACCCAAAACATACCAAATATAAATATAAGAGGAAAGGGGATGTGGTTTTGGTGCAGGTTGGTGGTTTTTTTTTAAATAGTTACTATTATAAAAGTTATTTTTAGAGGGTTCAGTAGTCCAAAACTGAGATATTTTAAATGCTTCTCCCTAATGTCTATTAGATGTTTCGCAAGCTTGTTTATGCTGTTCTTTGTGGCGCTGATGACTCAGTGTTACCTGAAGGAATGCAATCCTACTTATGTCAACACTGGACCTTTTTCTTAGTATGCCATCCAGATTTTCCCTAGGGCATCCTATCATGATTAGGTGCTTCTCCTCAGCCCTGTGCACACCCAAGCCCCACCCTGCCCCAAGCACTCCTGAGAGTGCAGTGTATTTACAGAACCTGTCACTTGTCCCTTCACAAAATGTTGCATGAAAGGGGTGCAGCACACCCAGAAGGAGATAAGCTCTTTTGTATGAATATGATGTACATCAGGAGAGATAATCCTTACAGCCATTTGCTCTGTAAATACCAGTGGATGATGTTACAGACAGTGAAGTTTGTACGTGAATAATTAGTGCTGTTTTGAAACTTTTTTCCCATGGTTTTCTCCTGTTTCTCTCCTGATAGTTTATGGTCTTCTGCTAAATGAAAGCTATTTTTGTTTTCCTTTCTCATATTCCTTACTTTCAAGTTGTACTTGGTTTGTTAGGATTTCCTCTGAGTTGTCTTGGGCATTTCTTCATACTGCAAATGCATAGTTACGTAGGCAAGGTCTGCCTTAGCTGCACCATTAGCCAACTCTTCAGAATGGAATTCATGCCAGGTATCAAAATTAAACCATGCAGTTCCACACTCTCGTTTTAATTTCTTCTTACTGCGTTGGCTTCATAACTTGTAGATATTTGTTTTGTAGCTTGAATCATGGAATACCCTTTACATTAATAAATCTCCCGAATGTTCTGTGTTTTAGGTCATTGAAACAACCTCAGTTGTGATATTTAGAAGTTCTTTAAAGACAGCCCGTTTTTTTAGTACTAAATTCTTGTATATTCATATGTGGAATAAAGATGTGCTGTTAAAATCTTTATAAACTGTAGAACCCTTTCATTTAGGGAAGCATTTTCCATCCCCATAATAACGTAATACCAAGAGAGCTAGTGGATATTTGGTTTATTGAAACCAAATTACCCTGGAGTAAATAAAGAGTTAGAGTTTCTTAAAGGGCACTCTTCACCTCTTTCATTGTGGAAAAGCATTCACTTTTCTGTGGAGCTATTTCCTCTCAGAAAAATAGAGACCATGCACAGTTCTTCTGTAAGGAAAATATTTGCTTGTGCTAAAGGTGATTCAAAGGAATTAGCAAAGAAATCTTATGCTGTGTTATTGAGAGGCACTTTTAATAACTTAATGCTATAGATTCTGTTACTAATGGGAAATGCAGGTTTTATTATAGCTGTCATGTTCAGTGCACCTGATAACGGCGTTTTTGTTCAAAAGAAAGTGGTTTACAGCTATAGCAGAATATGAGGCAGAGTAGTACTGGAGTGTAACAAATTGGAAACTGTAATTAATCCAAATCGCAGTGGCACAGTAGTTCCGATATTTAAGCTTTTATCTCTTTAGCCAGACAGCTGTCATCTCTGTGTATGTCAGCTATATTTTGATATTTGTATATTATGAAAAGTGCTTGCTTCTGAACCTTCAGAACTTGATTCCCAGCAGCTCACACATGGGCTTATAACTGAAAAATGGAATGTTTTTAGTCCTTAGCAGCATTGATTTATTGGTCCTGGGGTGCTGCAGTTCACTCACCTGTGGTGGGTTTGACTTTCAGGTCCATTTGTGCAGCTCTCACTTGCTGCTGCGCCGGGCTGCGGTGGCGTGTTTGCGGCAGCTGGCTCAGAGGGAAGCGTCAGAGGTGTGTGAATATGCCATGAGCTTGGCAAAGAACGCTGGAGACAAAGAGAGCAGTGCCATCAGTACGTATTTCTTTCATGTGGCCTTTTTGAAACAGTGCAGATGTGTGCATATGTGTGCTTTGCCTTCAAAAAGAAAGGGGAGACCCCCAAAACCCCCTTGTACTCTTAATGAGAAAAACCCTTAACTGTCCCTTCTGACTTCGGTAACTTCTGGCCACACCCCTGCTTTTACCTCTGGAATCTTGTTTGTAGCTTAGCTATTTGTGAAATTCAGACTTAAACCTCTCTCTCTCTCTCTCATTAAGGCTGGCAATCAAATAGGGAACATGGTATATACACAGTGGAAGCATTTAAAGTTATTTTACAATTATTTTACTGTATGGTATTATAGCTCTTGTTATTTTGAAAATTGACTTAATGGTGTGCTGTTTGATCCAGATGCTTGGCTGTGTTATATTCTGTCAGCATCATATCTGCAATACCTGTGGACTTTGCTGGCTGGTCTAATTCTTACATGTATCATTTTATTTTGAAAATAGGAGGCTCAACAGTGTTGATCAGCACAGTCTTCATACAGATGCAGAATTGTTACTTACCTTACTCAAATGATACCAGTGATGTTTGTCTCTAAGAGGAGTCTTTAGAGTCCAGTACTGTTAGATTTTTTACAAATTCATGGGCTATATGCCCTGAAGAGAGGATTTTTTTTACTTTTTAAACTAACTCTTGGAGGTGTTATTTGCCTTGCAGATGAAATTAATTGCTGTATTAGAATCAATAACATCTTGGTGATCTTTGATTGAGCTATACACACACAGGTACTCAATGACCAATTCAAATCTGCTGCATGAAATTTTAAAACTGAGTTCCTGATTTTAGAAAAGCTTTTCTCCTTCTCATTTTGCAGACATGAATCCTTTTGCACCAGGGGCCGGCTCTCGGCGAGAAGCGCACTGCCGGCACCAGGGGGTTAATATCACAGAGACGGGCCTGGAGGGCGTCCTGTTCGGGATGCTGGATCGAGAGACCGATCGGAAACTCTGCTCAGATATCCACGACACTCTGGGACACATGCTTTCATCTCTGGCCGTGGAAAACCTTTCTCACTGGCTCATGCTTTGTAAGGATGTTCTTGCAGCTTCCAGTGGTAAGTGTTCTGTCTCATTCACATAAATGTTGGTATGTCCTTAGCATTAGTGTGTTCTGGCAGTATTGGTTTGGAGCTTCTCTTTTATCCTAGCTGAGATGCAGGTATTGTATACAGAATTTGATTGTAGTGCCATTAAGCTGCCATAGAAACAAGGAATTATAGATGTTAAGTTTCAGAATATTACTTGTAAAAGTAAAAAGTTAGCTGCTTGAAGTAAGATTTCCAATGGAGAAGAATGGTGTTTGGCATTTCAGTATCTTAGTGAAAGCAGACATCCTTTTTAGCCTGTATACATCAGTATTGTACAGAGAGAAGACCTCTGTACACATTCTGATCTTTCTTTTATGAGGTTTTGTGAATTACTGATGTGATGCTGGGTTACCATGGTGATGAAATTTTTGTTTGTTGTTCAGCCTTGCAGATTTGTTTGCACAGACTTTGTCCTCTGAGACCTTATTCCTGTTTTTCAGCTTGTAGGATGGTTATGACGCAGAATCCGCTCATTTCCATTGCATTTATACTTGTTTATTGGCATGTGTGAGTTCATCCTGAAGCTGTTTCTAAATGCTGCCAGCTTTACATTTACTGATGAGTAATGCTACCAATAATTTCTTTATGCAATGTGGTTACCACAAATCTGCCCAGTGAGAAAGACCTCATTTCCTGAGGTTTAAATGGGCGTGGCTTTTTGTTATTTCATGTGGATGGGTCCTTAAATTTTTACATGGTTGTCCAATTTCTTATTTATTTATTAGTAGGTGACATGTCTCAGAGAAAACCATATTTAAATGAATTTCTCTCAGGTGTATTGTAAGCCAGCAACTTCACTTTGATCTCCTTTGATCCCACTAACTGGCATATGACCAAAATGTGGTTTGCTTTTAAGCAGAGATTTACAAATCAGCCACATAAGGTCCTGGATGCCTTCTCAAAAGGCTGTTGTTATGCATTAGCATCATCCATGTTTGATTTGCCATGGCCTTTTTCTTTATTGAACGTCTTGGCCCTTCAGTTGCTTAAATTTAGACTTTCTAAGAAGCATGCCTTAGTTTCTAAGAAGCATGCGTTGCAATAATTTCCTTTAATTCTCTTCTAATTATTGCTGGGGTAATTTTTGTCAGTTTTTTGGCATTTTGCTGATTTAGACCTTGTCATTGAGGATTTATGTTTTCATTTCTGAATTGCAAAAGTATATATGCGTGTTTGGTGAGGAATTTTTTGGCCCATGTTCAGCTTTTGTTTTTTTATGTAATCCCTGAAATAATTTTTATTTTCTGAAATGGAGTCTCTAACCTACACTTAGAGAAAATAACTTTTTGAATGTTAGTCACATTTTTGGGTGCTATCAGTGGCTTACTGGGCTGCATAGCTGTCCCATGGCAAGGAGCTTGGTAATTTTGTTTCAGTTTAATTTACTTTTTGTCTTCTACTTGAAGTGGCAGCTGAATAATTCAAAGCTGAGCTGATTCTTTTATTCTGAGCCTGATAATTCTTTTAATTCAGTGCCTTATCTTGTTTATTGGCAATTTAATTGGTTAATTTACAAAATTGGGCAATTTAGATATGGGATTCAGCTATAGTTGGTAACTGGAGAATTAATATTCACAGGAATTAATCTCATAACATGTAAGATAAATAAAGGGTAATTTAATCCAGAACAGAGGTGAAAACCATTTCTTTTAATGACGCACTCTTCTTTTGGACATTTGTCAAATGTTTCTACAGAAGAATTAGTCTGCTCTGAATCTCAATATAAGGAAATTCTTGAGCTCATGTGCTTAACTGCCTTCTGTGGATTTTAACAGTGGCATGTTTCTATTCCTTTTAATTGTTCTATGTCATAGACATGAGCACTGCTGCTCCCTTGGGAGGAGGGAAGGATGAGGAGCTGGAGAAGAAGGATGAGATGGATGATGACACGATGTTTACCACCTTGGGTGAAGAGGACAAGTCCAAGCCTTCTGTGGCACCTCGCTGGGCCACCCGCGTGTTTGCGGCAGACTGTCTGTGCCGGGTGATCATGCTGTGTGAGAATGCCAACAAGGCTCACTTCGACCTGGCACTGGCTCGTTCAGCCAGACTTAAAAACCCAAAAAGTAATTGCATGCTTTGGTTTTGTTTTTAATTTTTTATTGTCATTTTGGCACCTCTTTACAGCTTAAGATTACACAACCAAGAAAAAAGATATTAAGCACGTGTTCTTTCATTCAAATGGTCAAAGCCGAAGGAAATGCCCAGCAATAATCAATAAAACTGTGTCTTTATAACCACTGTAGTTACACTGCCATGAGCACAAAGGATGAGGTTTTCTGGAACATACCAGTTTTGAAAGATTGGTCTGCTTAAGGGGAAAAAAACTGTAGAGATGCAAGGGTTTTCTCAATTCTGAAACAGAAGCAATAAACTTCTAGCTAAGGGCAAGTTGGGAGTGTTTTCAGAGTTTAATGTAATGACAGCAATGAATTAAACTTGAGATTATTTTAGCATCTCCAATCTAAAGATTTAGATGCTAGAAAAGAAAAAAAGAAGGGATCAAGCTAGGTAATTATTGCCATGGCATTGGCTGCAGAGGGAGGGGAATGTGGGAGGGAGTTATAAAAAGACATAGACTTTATAAGGTTTGTTCTTTTGGTATCCATGAGAGTGATAAATCTTTGTTTTCAAGCTCATGTTCCAAAGATAGTTTTTGAGTTTAAGGATCAAAATTGAGAGGTCCTAGATGGCATAGTAGTTTTGTGAAGAAATGTTTTTCTTGAGTTGTCCCTGTTTGTGGTTGTTTGGATTCACCTGTGTAGTGCTCATGAGGACTTTGCGTATGTAGGATGAATATTGTGAGCATCCTGGAATGTGTGACATTAATGGATTTTGGTGTCTGTGTTGTTGAGGACATCTGTTATGATATGGAGAGTTATCAGGTCTTTGCCTGTGTTGCTTTAGTGCAGCCTGGTTCCAGCACTGTGCATTGCTTTTGTGAGAATCTGGTTTTTGACTTGATTTGAGGCCAAGGCCACTGAAGACTAGGAAGGAACAATTTCAGGAAAGTTTATTTTGTCATGGCATTGCATTACAAAGAAAATAATGAAATAACTGCTGCTTATAGGGCCCTGCAGAGAATTGCATATCATAGTCTGGAGGATTTTATCTATTTATTTAAAGTGAACTTTGACATGTTCGGTATCATTGTAAAAAGGAAAACTCAGCAAAATTCTGCCCCCCCTTCCCCAAATGCAGCTTCTACAGATTTTACTGTTGTCTCTGACGGTCTGAAAAAGTAAGTGCAGACTATCACTGTATTTTGGAGGTGATTTTCAGTCTTTCTTTACTGATTCATCTCTGAAAAGTTTCAGCCACAAAAACATTTTCCTTTTTTACCTTGAGACTTGAAAATAGCTTAGGCAACTTGTGGGTTTCATTAGTCACAGTGGATGTTGTTAAATAATTTATTTTCATGTTAGTTGTACAACATGTGGTAATTTCAAATTGAGAGTAAGAAAAACAATAAAATGACTACCTAGAGAAGAATAATCCTTTCAGAAATGTTACCAAGCATGTTGTCTGCATGCTTACAGCCTTGCATGTGGTTTTTGAGAGGAGAACCAGAGGCATACTCAGATTTAGGTGTTAACATCAGCAGGGGTCACTGTAAGCATAGGACTCGAGCAGGAGCAGGAATTGCCTTGAAGATTTTCTGTATGTTTGGGGGATCATTCAAATTAGCTTTACTAAATGTTTTAATATATTCCAAGCTACTTAGCCACATTTACATACTTCATTCTACACAATTTCTGTTCAGTTTTTAAGGTTGTCCTAGGAATAAAAGCCACAGAATTACTTTCTGGGGGAGGGAAAGTGGAAAACAAGAAAGAAAACTAGGTTGCATTCTTTCCTGCTTCTTCCATGCATTAAATGTGGACCTTTGAAAACAAATAGGTAAAATTCATGCATGTCAATGAAGAAAATACTGCAAGTATTCATCATGTTAGCTATCTTTAAGTTACTAGATAGTTCTTTCTGTTTTGTTCTAAGATGACTTCTTGGTGCTGCATCTCTCTGACCTTATCCGGATGGCATTCATGGCTGCCACAGACCACAGCAACCAGCTGCGCATGGCGGGCCTTCAGGCGCTTGAGGACATCATCAAGAAATTTGCATCCGTTCCCGAGCCAGAGTTCCCAGGCCATGTGATACTGGAGCAGTATCAGGCAAATGTGAGACCTCCTTCATGACTTCAGGAAATAGTGTATTTATGCCAATATGCCAGTATTAGCTTTGAGAACATTTTGTATTTGAAAAAAAGCTGTGAGGAAATTCTTCTGTGTGTGAAAATGTGCTGCAGAGACTCACTTATCTCTTCAAAATTTATTTTTGTATCTCATTCTATCTATTGTAATTTAGTAGCTGATAAAATTAAAATTCAGTAACTTGAAAGCCAAATATTTTAAGTTACATTTAAATTTTTGGTAAAAGTGGCTATTAGTTTGTAGAACTAAGAATTGGAAAATATTTTTCACTCAGTTCTAGATTTAAGCTAATAAATCAGTTTTCTGGGAATTAGTGAATGTACTTCTGTTCTAATGAAAACTACAAAAGTATATCACTGGGAAGTGGGCAATTAAAGATTTACTTGGGGATATTATTGTGCTTTTTTTGTTGCATAGCTTAACTCTTTCACCCCTTTTGTTTTTACTCTGTCGTCAAGATCTTTCCAAATACTTCTAAAGGCAGGCTTTCATCCTTTTCACTTCCTGCCTTTTTCTTCTTTCTTCTGTAGTGCTGTAACCATTGCTTCTTTCTCTTGGACTTGGTTCCATTTGTTTCAGAAAAGTATTGCCATATAGTAACTGCCTAAAAGGCATTTTTCAGTCAGTATTTGTCACTTTGTGGACTTGATGCGAATCCAACCAAAACCATTTAGTTTCGTATTGCTGTTCCTTTGGACATCAAATTGTCATTGGCTTATTGATCCTTAACAGAAGTTGCACCTGTGATACTGTAGTAATTAAAAGGATACTCATGAACAGAGGGAAGAAAATACCACATATTTCACAAAGGTAGTTGAGACTTCAAAAGGCAATGGGGTAAGGAAAAAAAGTAGTGTAAGACTTTATTGTTGTTGTTTAAAGTCTGCTATTGCAAATGTTTGCTAGACAGCAAGGATAATTTTGGGATGTAGCTACAATGCCAAATTTGGCAATTTTGTCTTGCTTGTTCTGTACTTGT